TAAGCGGCGTGCAGCAGGGGAGCGTAGGCCACGTCCGGCGGCGTGCAGCTGCGGCGGCGCACATAAACCGGCTCCACCCGGAGCGGACGGTCACCCAGCACCAGCCGGGCCCTGGCATGGCGTGCCTCCCGGGCACTCTCCACCTGCCTGAAGTTCACATAGGCCACCCGGCCCAGCTCGGGCGTGTGAGAGAGCTTCACACTCACGTCACCAAACTTCTTGAACTCATGGAAGAGCTCGTCCTCGATGTGCTCGTCGGACAGGTGTGAACCCAGGTTGCTGACCAGCAGCGTCTTATATTCGAGGCCACTGCTACTTCCAGCAGCACCGCCCGCGGCCCCGGCCACACGACCACCGAGGAGCTCGGTGCCCGCTGACCCTTTGCCCTTTCCTGCAGCCCGCTGGCCGGACCGCACGCTTGCGTCGTGGTGCAAGCGATGATGCGCGCTGCTTTCGTCGCGCGCGCGAGCCTTCTCGCGTTCGCCACCGCGAGCTTCGCGCTTCACATAGCGGCTGTCGGCGAGCAACAGCGCGAGCGGCGGCGAAGGAAGCAGCGCCGCAGGAGGAGCAGCAGCGGCGGCAGCCACGGCGGCGGCGGCAGCCGCAGCGGCGATGGCGTCCTCCCTACGGCTGCCCTCGCGCTCCCGGTCCCGTTCCCGATCCCGCTCTCGTTCCCGTTCCCGTTCCCTCTCACGCTCCCGAAGCCGTTTAGCGGCGGCTCGCGCGGGGCTCGCATCGCGGTCGGCCTGCCTCTTCATCCTCTCCCTTCAAACTTTTCCGCGCGGTGGAGGGAAAACCGGGTCGACGCGAAACGAAGCGACACTAACCCGCCGCGCCGCGACGCGCGTGAAAATGAGCGCGAGCGAAGGCGGAGAGGCGCTCGCGTTCCGTCCGACTGGGTGCGAGAAGCGGAGACGAAACTTGCCGGAAAAAATACAAAAAAAGCGTTTACAAACAGAGGCATCATACAAGCTGCATCCGCGCCGCCATCTTGGACAATGGAGAGGCGCGCGCGCGCCGCCGATGGGAGGAGCTCTCGCACACGTGACTCAGCACGGCATGAGGCCGCGTCCCAAATCGGACGCTTGTGCACTAAATAGAGCGACTAGAAAGTGCGAGTTCTTTGTAAAAGACTATTAAAACTGAGTTTTGCCTTGAAAATAATGCAGAAGCCTCCCTGCTGAAAAAAGCCATAGAAACCATTACGTGTCCCCGTTGGTTCCTCATGGTTTTGTAATGTGTTGTGGCTTTTTTATTGGGTTCATAATCACAATGTAGATGATCCTATGCTGGAAACTAGTGGTCTGTATTGGAAACCATTAAGCAAATTCCCTTTAGAAAGCAAAAGCAGGGTAGCACTGTCATTAGTGACTGATCAGTCTTTCGTGGAAAGAGGGGGCGTTTCTAATGAAGCAGTCATGCTTTGTATTTGCACGTTTGCATACAAACCCTATAAACCTGCCCTGTGGTCATAATGGGATTCCCATGAAACAGGCAAATAGAAGCTGACGTGACTTAATGTACCAGACTTCACTGAATCACAGTTCACTGCTGTTTATATAGATACACACATGAAAACTGAACGAGAAGCACAGAGGCTGTTACCAGTTTAGCCATCAAAAGGGTGATAATGAACTAGGATTTTTCCTTTATATTCATATTGTGATACCTTTGAGGAAGACCCTGCAACCAGCTGCCTGTACATACAAGACAATGACTTTTCCATTTAAAACCATGGCTAAAAATACAAAAATATTAATAGATTACATTATTCCAAGGAGAAATGAAATTAGATTTATCCCTCTTTTTCTGAACTGTGCGACAGATGTAAAGCATTTAATAGAACCTCATACCTTTTGGGTCTGCCCCAAAATTTCTTCCTTTTGGACTCACTATTTTATGAGTTTAAGTATAACAGGGAAATTTCTCCTGACCCAGTATTGGCTCTGATTGGTTGCTCAGTAATCACACTTTCCTTACCATATAGACGACAGCAGGCATTAAAGTTTGGCATGATTTTGGCAAAAAGGAATATTCTTAGGGAGTGGAGATCTGAGTATCCTCCCTTGTTTAAAGTATGGCTTTCTGAAATGGTTTCTTCTATATACTTGGAGAAATTATGATGTATCAAACAGGTTCAATCAAGAAGTATAAAAGGCATCAGACCCTTTCATTGAACACCTTCAACACTGATGAATGAACTGTGACATCCCCTTTGGCAATTTAACTTCACCTTTTTTCTCCTCCAAACTGCCAAGAATATGACACTACTATTATGTTTTACAATTTTTTACTTATTGTTTTTGTCTTTTTTCAGGGGTGGCTGTATATGTACAGTTTCTGAACTTTGGCTTTTTATTTATTTATTTATTTTTGGAGGGGTGGGGGTTATACTGTTCTTTTGTCTTATTCTACAAAAATCTAAATAAAATATATTTTAAAAAATGCTAAAAAAAAAAAACAGTATAAATGATTTCAGCAGATCATCTGAACTTGTGTGAGTCTTGGTCATGGCTTCTGTATTACAAAACTAACCAAATTAGCTATAAAACTAATAAAAACTAATATACACTAAATGGCCAAAAATTTGCGGACACCTGCTCATCCAATGTTTCTTTCAAAATCAAGAGTATTAAAAAGGGTCCTCTGCAGTAACAGCCTCTAATCTGCTAGGAAGGCTTTACACTATATGTTGAACATTGCTGTGAGGATCTGATTGAGCATTAGTGAGGTCAGGTACTGATGTTGAATGGTCAGGTCTGGATCACTCCAACTCATCCCAAAGGTGTGGGATTGAGTTCTATCCTTCCAGACACAGTTCCACTGCTCCACAGCCCAATGCAGGAAGGCTTTATACCCCTTTGAGCTGCGCTTGGCATTAAGCATGGTGACCTCAGCTGTGCATTTAATTCTATGAGCATTTAAACTCCTGGGTCAGCACATTAATGCTGCTGAATTCACTAACAAGAAGGGATGTCTACAAACATTTGGACATATAGTGTATGTTAATGAGCTCTGCTCTGATTGGCTGCCTGATCCCAACACTCCTTAGAACTTCAGCATAAATGGAAGGACAAACCTGAAAGCAGGCAGATGTGTGTAAATGCACTGGTCTTTGTGAAATCACAAAAATACCATGTTTCACCTCCCTCTCCCACCTATCACTGAGTGAAATGCTCAGCCAGCTCAGAGACACTACCAGCTACCATGTTTCACTCAGAAATGCATCACAGTACGGAAGGAAAACTGCTTAAAAAACCCATTCAATTCTGAATTACAATAGATTTAATATACAGGGGGAAAACAGCACGACACACACAAGAGAAATAAACCTACACAGTGCAAACCATGTTATGTTATGAACTGCTGAAAGATTCAGAGACTTATGATACTTAAAGACTTGATATATTTCTACCTTTAGGTTGAGTAATAACCAAGTCAGTGATAAATAAGGGCAGGTTTTAGTATGACATTAGTGCCGGTCAACTTACAGACCAAACACATCAATCTAATCTCATACCGCTCTGGTTTAAACACTCTGATTACAGATTCATCCCAAATCCAGGAAACTGATACTGTGTGAACACAACCAGTGCATAACCAGGAAACGTGACTGAACTCTTAATCTCATATCCACTGCAAAAGCTCCATCGAACTGAATTCTTCGAAAAGCAAAAGAAAGGAAACCACGTTGGTTTTGTTATTTTAATGAAAAAGTATAGTACAACTGTAATAAACATGTTTTACAGCGAAGTCCATTTGAATTGAACCACATTTAGTAGTTGCATCACCCTCCTCATTGGTTTATTATATAATAGTCAAATAAAAAAGCCTTAACCATTTGAAAAGAAACTACAGTGTGTTGTAATATCACCCATACCATCTGAGTAAAAACATTCATCACTCTGGCTTGAATGTTTCACTTGTCGAGTGTGCAAGAAATGGAAAAAAGTCAAAGTTTAAAGTGAGGCTGTTTTTCACTTCAACCTAAACCACGATTGTACCCGTATGTGTTCTGTTAACTGGAGTGAACAGTGATATTAACATAAGCTTCACATATATGAGTTCTGTTAACTGTCATTGGCAAGTCGTGAGCACAAGATTAATCTTTTTTTATGATGTGATGTGCGCAGGCGCTGAAGAAATTAGGCTGGAGTATTCCTTTAAAGGGCAACTCCACCAATTTTTTTTTTTAAATCTGCATAATTAAATGGTTAAGATGTAAACAAAGTCATTCAGAGTAGTTTGGTGTGAAATGCTTAGTTCTAAGAAACTTAAGTCACAATTATTCACAGTGGTGGTGATAGGAACCAGAAGCCTGAAGAGGTTAAAGCTACATCACAGAAAGTTCTTGAATTAAATAGTTATGAATACCCAGCCTGATGTCCGAGACACTGTTTTACAGTAGTTTTGAGAAGTTTTGGCCTGAAAGGTGTTTTAATCAATTTATTCTAATGTGTTAATGGTGGAAGGATACATTAAGGGTGTTCTAAGGCAAAATGGTCCCTAAAATAAACAGATTTACAACTATTTTACCATCATCAACATTACATATAAAAACCCTCAGAAGACGTTGGTGGTTTTGGATATTAAATAAAATGGCTATATTTGTGTTGTACACATCAGGACCCCTGGTTCCTGGTTATCACCACCACTGTAAAGAAATCAGAGTCAGCAAGTTTCTCTATAAATGAGCCATTTCACATCAAACCACTCTGAATGACGCTGTTTACATTTCAACCACTAAATTCTGCAGACATTTTTTAAAAAATTGGTGGAATTCCCCTTTAAGAGCTGGTTTAGTGAACCCTGATTAAGCCTAGTCTTCAACTGAAGTGCAAGATCACAGGAATTTCACACATAAAAACTCCATTTAGTATAGGTCTAGGCTTAATCTGGGTCAGCCCAAGTTTTTATAGAAGTACAATGTGAGTAAGTACTGTAAGTAAAACAGATGTCTATTCTGAAACAATAGCGTCCAGGGGACACAGACAGAGCAGTGAGAGACAGTATGTTTGGTTTATTTGGGGCAAACTGATACTACAGTCGTTTGGGCTGAAACACAGCATCACTTTAAACTCTCAAAAAAAAAAAAGAAAGGAGAAACGGAATGTAAGAGAAGAATGAAAGAATGGCTGCACTCTCAGACTTCATGTTAACCATTAGATTAAAGGGCAATAAGACAAACAAGACTTGGGTCCCCATTAGGTGGTCAATCAGCTGCACAGCGCAAATCACCCACCCACAACGCCTTTATAGCCACTCCCTCCGTCCCGAAATTCCGCGAGAGTGTTTACAGTTCTGTCCGTGCCTTGGCTGCATTTGGCGCATACTTAGGCATGAGTTCAGTGATCTTGCGGATGAAGTCCGATTTCTCCACGCAGCCTTTACAAGACTCGCCCCACTCGTCCAGGATCTTCTTCAGGTCCTTCACCTTCAGTTTCTTTAGGTCGACGGTGCTCAAGTCAACTTGTTTATCTGAAGAGGGAAGCAAAAAAAAAGCACTTTAGCAGAGATGACAAATATTCAAATGGAGCCATTAGTGATTTGAAAGTCAAAGCAGATGGCCTCTTTGGGAAAAAAAAAATTTATGATGTTCAATATTCCACACGCTCGACTTCTAAAACATTATAAGGAACATTTTAATACACGTGACACACAAATCTCTGCCCACGCGCGTCTCCAATGCAAATACGCCCACCCACTCAGTGTCTGAAACAACCATGGAGAAAAGAGACGAATGGTGGAAATGCGCTTATGCTTCAAACGCTGCCATGGCGATTTAGCTCCTGCTCTGCTGTTGTGGCTGTGATTCGATCGAATTAGACCATTTATGATTCTAGATCTTTAAATTGGGCTATAAAATCATATCATCTTTGTGCGACAGGTATAATGTTGGGGTATATAATCTAAATGAGGTTAGAACAAGCACCGTCTCCTCATTTGCACATGAAGCTTAGAGGCCCACAGAGCTGCATTCAGTGTGGTTCACTTCTCAAACACTTTGCAAGCTAAAATGGTGCTATTACACGCATTTTTAAATATTTAATCACTCATTTTATCTCATGTGCACACAGTTCAGTAGATACCAGTGATTTTAAACCATTTGTATAGTTGAAGGGAAAAATCCACCCATTTTTCTAAATTCATTCAGACAGTACGTTTCAGAGAAACTTACTGTGTCACAATTGTTCACAGTGGTGAACAATTAGGAACCAGATGTCTGAAGCCTCTAAAAAGCTCCCTCACAGAAAGTTTTTAATTATATCACTATGAATACATGGTCTTATGGCTGAGACATTGCTTTACGATTGTTTTTAGATAAGATTTTGTTGTAAAACACTGTTTTAAATCCATTCAAGGTGGAAACACACATAGGGCGTTGTATGGTAAAGTCAGTCCCCAAATCTCGTGCAGGTTTATTAACCACTTTGGATAGTAAATAAAATGGCTATATCTGTGTTGTAGATGTTGCGACTACTGGTTCCCATCATCACTAAGAAATGAGAGTTAAACTTCTCTACAATTAACCACTTCACATCAAACCTCTCTGAATGACTTACTGAATGAGTTTACATCACAACAAATGAATTATGCAAATATATTTGAGAAGAGAAAAAAAAAGAAAAGAAAGAAAATCAACGTAATTCTCCTTCTCAAACAAACCACTAGGGCTGCCATGACCCAGAATTCAGTGCATGAGAGACTGACGATCTGCCTCTGGGGGACTGGATTTGCTTCTCCATTTGAAACCACACATACCAGTGGAGCTTTACAGCACCACAGCAACACGGCTCACTTGATGAATGTGCCACTGGGATGCAGCCGAAATTTATTTTTACACACACACACACACACACACACACACACACACACACACACACACACACACAATAAAGACAAAAGTATTGGGACACCTACAGGAACGTTTGTAACATCCCATTCTAAATCCATAGGCATTAATATGAGGTTGGTTCCCCACTTTGCAGCTATAACAGCTTCCACTCTTCTGGGAAGCTTTCTACAAGATTCTGTAGAGTGTCTACAGGAATTGTATGCCCATTCATCCAGAATAGCATTTGTGAGGTCAGACACTGATGTTGGATGAGAGGGCCTGGCTCACAATCTCTGTTCTAGTTCATCCCAGAGGTGTTGGATGGGGTTGAGGTCAGGGCTTTGTGTGGGCCGGTCAAGTTCTTCCACACCAAACTCACCCAGCTATGCCTATATGGACCTTGCTATGTGCACTGAGACTCAGTCATGCTGGAACAGAAAAGGGTCTTCCCCAAACTGTCCCCACAAAGTCAGAGAAATACAAATGTCTGCTGAAGCATTAAGATTTCCCTTCACTGGAACTAAGGGGCCTAGACCAACCCCTGAAAATCGATCTGACTTGTTGCAGCGCTGGCATCCTATTACAGTACCATACTCAAACTCAGTGAGATCTTTAGAACGACCCATTCTTTCACAAATGTTTTATACACCCGTGGCAATGGGACTGAATAAAACACCTGAATTAAATGATTAAGAGGTGTATCCCAATACTTTTGTCCATATAGTGTGTGTATGTATTTATATTATATTACAAAGCTGGCCATTCACTCACATACACATTACAGGACAAATATGTAATATAACAAATATGCCTCTGTGCACCCTTAGTGAACTACAGTTTTAAAGAGGTATAATACTGCCGCCACTTTATAGACCCTCGCTTCTGTTTACATATTCAAACCTTCCCTCTTATTTACATACTCTAACGCACTCACTGTTTGGCTGCTGAATGGGAGCCTATGGCATCTATTAGTCACTAGTCCACCTTGTGATTCTCTCCCGCATTACATGGAGAGGATCATATTCAGGCATGTCTATCAAATAAAGACAATGTTCTACAGATTAAACTTACACTAGGCTAGTACCACAGTTCAGTAGTGTCATTACAGTGTCAGCTGAAAAAAGGCATAGAAATGGGCTTAACAATCGATATATGGGTGCATTCTCTAATGCAAAATAAACAAGACTTTACTACTGCTGATCAAAACTGATGTGCTCCAACTTGGGCCATCTTCTGCAATTACAGTCTTGCAATGAGCCCAGCTGTTTAAAGGTCAGCTGAAGAAGGGCTAAGGTGAAACACGTCCATTTGGACAAGCTTTTATTTTGCATTTGAAAGTGCAGGTAATACCTGACGGACAGGCAATCACTTATCATGTACATCATATCTACTTCTGAACTGTGGTGTCAGTCAGGGGTGGGCGATATGGCAAAAATATAACATCACAATGTTTTTTCTGAGGTTTGATACGTTGGATCGTACAAAAAGAACCTAAAGTGCCACATTAAAAAATAATATCAAAACTGTGAGTTTATTACTGCTTTTTAACATTTCACATACTGTACTAAATAGGATTAAATATGTAAATGAGAGCCTCTGAAGTAAGTCACTAGTTCACCATGACGATATTGTTATGTCGCATTGTCACAGTATGCTTTTCTGCATGTATTGTGGGCTTCAGCACTGAAAAGTATACTGTGACGTAATGCAACATAACAATATCGTCAAACTTCTCACCCCTAGTATAAATTAACTGATTAATTAAGTGATTAAGTGACCCTTATTAGTCTCACAACAGGGACAACTCACCTCCGCATTTAACCCATTCATGCAGTGAAACACCACACACACACTAGGGAGCAGTGAGCACACTTGCCCAGAGTGGTGGGGAGCCCTATCCACGGCGCCCGGTAAGCAGTTGTGGGTTAGGTGCCTTGCTCAAGGGCACTTCAGTCATGTACTGTCGGCTCAGGGGATCGAACCGGCGACCTTCTGGTCACCAGGCTGGTTCCCTAACCTCCAGCCCATGAATGCCTCTATTTGCAATAATTGCAAATAGTTCTTTCTATTCAATTGCTAACGTACCTTGAAAGTTTGTGTGGATGTTTCTACAGGCTTGATCGTGCATTTTTAAGCCAAAATTCCTGATCAGCAAAGAGCTTTTCTAGAAGTATGTAACACCAATGCAGTACATGATCCACTTCAAGCAGAAGAGAGAAGTAAACCAGAGCTGTACACAAACGCATGACGTACCGTATTTCAGTTCACAGATCTGACTGTCCTTCTTCTTCAGCTTTTCACACACCTTCTCCACCGGTACATGATAGCTCAAGGGTTTGGAGACTTCATTGATGATTTTTGTGGCTGCATCACTTGTCGCTCCTATATAGTAGCACTAAGAGGAAAGAAGAAAACATAAATGTGGGCAAATGACACATTTCTAACACCACGAGCACACAGCGAATGATGAAATGACGTCTTACCAATCGATTTTCTTTCCCTTTTGCTTCTTTGCAGGTTTTCAGCAAAGCTTTTTCAATAGCATCACTGGTGAACTTCACATCATTGTCTTTGAGTGACTGGTAAAACTTGCCCAGAAAGCTAAGACATACTGCAATGACAAACAGAGAATGGTTAAAAGGTGTTACTACAGCTGTGCCATTAAAGGTCTAATGGCAGAATGTACTCTTCCTCATTATGAACGAAGCCAATTAGACCAGATCAGCCACCAACTCAGACAGAAAAAGGTGAAAGTCACTTCTCACCACTTTCCTCCACATTCACACCTTTACTTTCTGGTATGGTGGCTTTTTGTAGCGCACAGTGCCAGCTAATGGCGTGCTCACACCATCTTAAAGGGGAACTCCACCAACTGCATGATTAAATGGTTAACATGTTAGTAAAGTCATTCAGAGTGGTCGGGTGTGAAATGCTTCGTTCCAGAGAAACTTACTGAATCACAACTGTTCACAGTGGTAGCGATAGGAACCAGATGTCCACATCTAAAAGCCCCCTTAGAGAAAGTTATTACATTAAACAGATATGAATTCGCTGTTTGATGTCAAAGACATTGTTTTCTGGTAGTTGTGTGACAAAGTTTTGGTCTAAAAGGTATTTTAAACAATTTTAATCCATTCATGGTGGAGGGATACATGAAGGGAAAACAGTCCTCATAGAAAACTTATGTTTTCAGATGATTACCATCATCAGCATTACATATAAAAACACAGACACGTACAGGCTCACTGGTGGTTTTGGATAGTAAATAAAATGGCTATATTTCCTTTGTAGACTTTGGGACCGCTGGTTCCGATCAGCACCACTGTGAAGAAAATCTGTACTGGTAAGTTTGAATGCATTTGTTTAGAATTTTAACCACTAAATTTCGGAAATTTTGAAAAATCAGCAGAATTCCCCTTTCATTCAGAGAGTTAGCATCCTGCTACATCAATGATCCTGTGGCAGCATCTACACGACATTCACCGCACAGGGCAGTTCACTCTCTTGTGAACACCACGTCCTCACGAGTGGCCACTGTTCAGCTTGACCCGTGGCGACCTGGACTTTACAAGGGTCTCCGCCGGTCAGTTCACTCCATTAAAAGGTATGAATCCCAGCCAGCTAACGTTAATTAGCTGTCTAAGCCAGACTCTGTTGAGCTCTACCGGGGCACACTAATTTATGCTACAGCAAATGAAATCAGGTTATACGAATTTATCCGTTCCACCTTAAATGGTGCACTATTTAAGATGGAACGGACAAATTCGAACAAGAAGCTGGCAAAAGCCCACTTCAGCCTCGTCTGTAACCGTACAGCTGATGATATTGTAACTAGATAACAAGCTACATCTTTTACATACGTGTTACAACTCATAACACAAAGTTACGCTTTAGGGCGAAATTCTGCTTCACCTGAGGGAAACACTGACACAGGCTAAGCTAACTTAGCAACTGCTGTTAGGATGAACTCACCTTCACATTCTCCCTCCTTTAAAGCATCACTGCTGCTCGGCACCAAGGCGAGGGCGAGAGCCACTGATAGCCCGCTTAAATATAACATTACTGTGCCGTGGTGAACAGTTTTAAATACAAAACACAGAAGCGGCGCAGCGCCGTCTCGTCCACATGCACTGTGATACAGATACCGGTTCGCAATCAACGCAAACGTACCGTTTCCGCCAAGTCCCGCCCACTCCCACACGCTATTGGTCGCCGTGCCACTCTTCGCGACGCGATTGGGCGTCTTTGCTTATCTCGCACCACGCACTCGCTTTTGATTGGGTGTGGATTGTTCAATCCTGCGACAGAGTCCAGTTGGCGCCTCCCGATTGGAGGAGACACCGGGAAGTTTGGCCGTTTGTGATTGGACGGCGGTTTGATACGCCATATTTGTAGTCCAGAAGGTTCTGGGCACTTGCACTGACGTTGAGATGATGGAGGATGTTCCTAATAATGGAACATAGTCGATTGTTGTACTTTGTTTATGTTGTAAAAGTTAATACATTATATACATACTGTGTTTATATACAGTACTGTGCAAAAATGTAGGCACTTTAGAAAATTAGATTTAATTAGCCATTTAATTGGGCAAGTAGGTGTTTATTGGCTCAGAAAATCACTACTGTTAGACTAAATACAAATAATATTAATACAATAATTAGTGATTTTAAGTGTGTAAATGTTTTGCTTAACTATTTTCAAGGTCAGTATTATTTTGGATTTCATCCAATACACATTTTGCCTAATGAATCTTTCATAAAAAGGGGAATTTCCCTGTTTTTCCAACATTGTGTACTTTTTGCCTTAGAATATGTATATATATATATATATATATATATATATATATATATATATATATATATACATACATATATATACATACATATATATATATATACACTTGTCTTAAACCACTCTGTCTGGCACTGTTTACAACTCAGTGACTGAATTATGCACAAGTTTTAAAAATGAAATTCCCCTTCAATACTTTAATGCTTTTGCCAAACTGGGCCCTGTAGTGATCCAATTCTCATCATTGGCCAATGAGCAAGTACTGAGTCAGACGTGTTAAAGCAGAATTGGATCATACTACTGAATGTTTAAAATGCACAGGGACTCCACATTGGTGATAAAAGAGGTCAAAAAGGCAAGTCAGACACGAGTCGATAAAACATTATCTTTAATGTTAGGCATTATTAATGAATTCCACATCACAGCAGTTATAGGAAAAAAAAGTGTATTTACATCTAAAGTTCACATCACATTTTGTCCATGCCAGCACAATATATACAAAGAAATTACTTTGAGAATACTCGTACAAAGGTTTCCTAATCTCTTAATGGTAAAACATAACTCGTTCTTCAGATTTCAATGCAAAATACACAAAATAACTGTAGTGATTAGGCCATTGAAAGAGTCACTTGTTTCCATTTGCTGTTTTAGTCTTAAAAACACATTTACATCAGAAAGTACAAGGCAGACAATTAATCCCAATCTATACATGATTTGCCCTTCTTAACCGTATAAATACACAGCTTCTGAAGGATTATGTACATAAAGACAGACGTGGTGACGTACGAATTGTAATGCTTCCAAAAGTATTTTAGTACCCATCTTTCTACAGTTTTTCCTATGTACAAAGAAAAAGTCTTTCTTTTGGGTTTCCCTTTACTGGAGCTGTGAAATTCCTATTGTCAAGGTATCGTCATTTTCACATGATTAAAAACAGCCACTTTTCTCTAACAGCAATCTTTCAAAAATACAGGTCAAGAGACTCTTTACTCTAGTTATCCATACAATATGTAACCGACTATATGTTGCTCATTTCAGGGAGTCAGATATGAACAAACTACTTATCTGGACCATCTGAAACCCAGTGAGAGTGAAGAAAGGGAAAAGCTATCGACCTGAAAAACCCCAAAACTCCTCATATCAAAGCAAAGGCCACCTTCAACCCAAAATGTTATGATCCAAAATGAGTTTTACTCTGTCAAGACATCAGACGGGTAAATATATGTACAACTGTTTTAGCTATCATGTTGTGGCTGTTGAATTCTGACTATATATTTTTGCCTGGACGTTACGAAATGAAACAAATGAAGAAAACCAAAGTAAAAACCTACACGACACGCACACATGCACACTTACAGTTAACATGAAATTTGAATATTTACAGGAAAAAACATTAGCAAAATCAAAAAAGTTATAAAAAATGTTGAAACAATAAATATGAATAATTTTAGCTGTAGTTAGAGGAGTGGTATTCACAATTTTTGCCAACCCAGATATCTTGCCTTAACACTGTTTCTTTGCACAAGTATGCAAATAACTTTAACAACCCCTTAATATTCATAGTACTAACGTAAGAATACTCATACTAGCACAAATCACCTTAATATCCTTCATTATGTCCTCAACCCAAATCATCATAACGACAATCTCATATTCTTTTGGCGCAAAAAGACTTGAGCCATCGCACCATCAAATCATCAGCCATCACTCCTGTTCTTAATTAATTAAGAAAAGTGTGTTACTACATGAATATAGTAAAAAGGATAATGCCTTTTGGATATGACTGATAAGGAATATGGCAGATTAAACACAACTCCTAATGCTCCTCGGCTAAGATGACCATGGTTCATGAGTTCTTCCGTCTCTGACATTAGAAGGCAGCTACTTTCTAACTGTTCCCTTTAAACATTTGCTCTACAGTCATTAACAAAGCCTGATCTATTGATGTACCTTCTTTTTGCCAGATGTTTGTACCACAAAGAATACAATCTTCACATTACACACACAGAAACGAACAAAACAGATAATACAGGACAGCCTAATTGCTTTTGACATCCTTCAAGTATAACAAGGGTTAAATACAGTTTTATAAATCATGTGCATTCTCTATCATATAGTTCTTCTATTTGCAAGACGTCAATAAAAATAATTACTTTTCAAACCCAAAATAGATCCTCTAGATAAAGTGACATGCACCAGATCCCATCCAATTTGCTTATGGAACTGTCTATCTTCATTGTGAAAGGGGCAGATGAAGTGAAAATTGAAATTTGTGGTGTAAAATTACATAATCACATAATACAAGGTTTATATGAACTTATATAAACTTGCAAATGCCCATAAGTGTAGCAAAAGAAAACAAGCTAAATTGTCTTAGTACTGTCTTTATCAGGCCCGTGCACATAAATTATTTGGGTTTTTATTGGGGGTTGGGGGGGCAGCATGACCGTAAATTAAATTTCATTTGCAACACATTGCAAACCTTTCATGTTTTTATGGTTCAGATGAAAACAAACATAGCGTTAGAAGTTTTTTCCCACTACTGCCCCAACACCCCAATCACCAGACTGCAAGGCTGTAAGGTTACCTACTGTTATAATGTCTATGAAAGTCTGAGTTGTAACTCTATTTAAGAGTCTACAGAGCCTGTCATAAATCCCTGTTGTTGTTTTTTACAAGAACAAAAACCTCAGCAAATTATTAGTGCATGTTTGTTGTTTAGAACAACAACTTTATAAAATGGCATGCCTTCTTAATGGGATTACTGTTGCTTTATTGGTGGGATTTCCAGTGTTGTGGTGATGTGTGCACCTGAGTTACCCTGAGGTGAAGTCTAGAAGGGTTCGGTTAGGCCAGATTTTAATGAATGTGTCTGTGCACGTGCCTGATCTATATAGTGAAATACGGATATGGACATTTTTTCTTTTTTGGTACACTAAATAGATACTGCTGTTTGTATTGAGACTTCTCTATAACATCAAATGTGTGTCTAATATTATCACTGCCCATAGAACAAAACCACCACATTAACTGAGATGACACCTTTTCTGATTGGTCCATGTACAATGGCATGGATTTATCTGTAGTAAAATGTATGTTTTATATCAACATGTGGTGGACAAACAAAAAAAAAATAACACAGGTTTGAATACTTTTGCAAATGGATGTATTACATTATTGGAAAGATATTGGAAGCTACTCTAAGATGACCTGATGAGAGAAAAGAAGCTATTCTACATGTATGAGAGGTTGTAAAACAACTTTGGGAAATCATGTCTAGAGAAACTGGGCAAGTTGCAGCGCAAGGCATTAATCCATAATGGATGGGGTCAGGTAAGGTAAAATTAAAGTCAACAGTGAAAAAATGTGCAGAGCTCCACAGGCATCTCTCTTCTAAACTCATTAAAGTGGAGCACACTAGTCATTTTTTAGTCAATTATTTCTCTGCTGTATCGCCACAGTAATGAAGACAACATGCACAGCTGTACAAAAATCTCAGCTTTTGAAATTATAACGTACATTATATCTCCCAGTTCTTAAAAATAATCATTAGACACAACATCATATATCCATCAGGAAGCAATTGCACATCCTTCAGCAGCTAAAAGGGTCTTCGAAAATCCCTTCACTTGCATATAACATCGTACATTTTTGAAAGGTCCTCACTCAGCGTCCTTATATTATTATATAAGCTTGTATTTCTTATTTTTTACTATACAATTTTATTAGATAAAGTTAGGGAGTTTTACATTTGCTCTATCTAAAAATATATTCTTCTTTTACGAAAACTGCCAACTTAATGAGAAATAAATCAAATAAGAAAAAAACCTGCTGGGCCTCAAAGCAGCTGCACTGCTAGAAGACATCTGTGAAATGGCTTTTATATTACATCTCCTTGTCTGTGGTGTTATTCGCATAACTGGATAATAGAGCTCAAAGTGGTTGGCTGATTTGCTTTTGAAGCACGATAATAAAGTGTGTGTAATGAAGCTTTTGCAAAGTACATAAGCCTCTTACTGCCAAGTCAGTGTGCTACCGCTCAGGAGAAGTGCTATGTGTAGAGTTTCCTAATTCAGCTCTCAAACTAGTGAGTCATAATAGTAATAGAAAATCGACTCTAGCGGAAATACTAACAGCAGTTCTGACATCAATATTGTAGGCTCTCACAGACAGAAAGCCCTATAAATGTTATGGCAAGATAAATGAGCATTTTTTTAAGTGACATAGAGAAGTTGAGACTCTTATGACAGACAGTTCATCAGTCTGTAATTACAGTAATATGTCGATGACTATAAAACCATCCAAAGGTCTCATTCAAACCAATAAGCAAGTCAAACAGGCTATTATTTTAAATAAGTGTCAGTTTTTGGTGTTCCGGAACTAAGTGCTAAAGTGCGGCTCTTCCAGAATTGAAAAGTGATGCTCCAAGAGGTAATGTCATAGTCTAAATTCAGTAGTTTTTGCACAAATAACCTATCAGCCTACTGTCAACTCAAAATCTCTGAATGAAATTTCCACTTACACTATATTTTAAAAGAACATTCAGTACTCTTGTTTGATCAGTGTAATAAAAAGTGAAGGGACTAACACTACACACTCAGAAGTGAATTTCATCAAACTTTTTCCCACAGGATAGGCATCGTCATTTAGTATTTTCTGTTGCTAACCTATGAGAACATTTAGCAAAAACCTTCATCCTATCACTACCTTTCATCCTGATCAAGGAGGGGAATAAGAGCGAAGGAACAACTTTGGACTCACAGTCCCCAGTAAACAACCATAAACACAAAATGTAAGTTTATACCAGTGTTTAGAAGCTTAGAAACATGTTGAGCACTCATGAAAAAAGAAAGACCTTATTGGAGGTAATATGAATTGAGAGGAGAACATTCCCAAAAACCAATCGCTTAATTTGGACTCTACCATTCTCCAAATCCAGCTTCAAAAACCAGAGAATCAGCCCCGCTCTTCATCCTGATGAACTCCTCACTCCTCACTGATGCCATGCTCCCAGGCCACTTTGGCCTGTTCTTCCTTGTTGGTGAGCAGTGGTTGGGAGATCTTGCGAGGCATGGGTCGTGGAACAGGCCTCAAGTCCTCCTCAGGTATGCAGCCTTCTCTTAAGTATGGTTTTGGAGGAAGTGCAGGTGGTGGCTCGTGGTGGTGGTAATGGGGGTGTGTGATGTGGATGGCGTGGGGGTGGTGGTGGCTGTCTGGAGGAATCACTGGTGTAACGCCCACCGGAGCAGAGTGGCTGCGGCAGGGGGCGGGCTTCAGATTGTCCAGCACCTCAGGCTCGGAGACGCTGTACCGGACGGGGAGGTAGGGCGTCTCGGCCTCTTCCGTGTCCGTGGTCCAGGCCTGGCTGCTGGGCACTGAGTCCAACGTGTCAGCCCGCGCCGGAGGCTCGGAGGAGGACTGGACGAAGTTGCTCTCGCTCAGGGAGGAGACACCGCTGCTGGCGCTGCCGGACAGGGTGGAGTTACTGCCATCCAGGCCCGACTGCGGACTGGTGGGCGAGGCAGGTATAGGGTGAAGGGGTGACTGTTAAGGAAAAGGGGCTATGCATTAATAAGGTAAAAAGTTTTAGGCCACAGGATAAAGGTTTGGTGAAAAATCAAATTTATACTTTTAATTTACATTTAAACTTCTGCTGAATGTACACCAATAAGCATCATGTTTTTTGTAAATTAGAATTTAACTATTCCTTTATTAAATAGTAATTTAAATAAAGATTAATGAGTGACAGAACTTCAATTATAGTGGTGTTTTATAATGTTATAAGGAACACTGTAACAGAAACAATAAACAAAATTCATAAAAATCTCTGTGTTTAATTAAATCTTATTTTGCTATTGTGTTAAACCATTAAATGTAGGTCTGGGCTTTACCCGGTTCCACAATGTTTTGTGACACTTCAAGCAAATATATTAAACAAATGTGATGCAAAACATGCCTAATTGGTAATAATCAGTACCCAGGTGTTTTTCTGTATTATCATTTGTCCATAAAAACATTCTTGTCTCTTGAATTACCTGCACCCACATGCTGTAACAGTTTTTGCCTTTCTGATTCAGCCTGCAAATGCCATGCCCTCTGCCTGCTCTAATTAAATGCCACACAGCAAAGATCTTAGCATTATGTGTCTCCCAGTCCAAACGCCCTCTTTTAACCCATCTGCCTGAGCTCTCATTAAAAATGTATGGGTCCTCTGGCTAATGAGCAAAGGCCCCACTGAATCAGGGCAATGGGAAAAGCAACAGAAGGCCATCCAACTTAAAAGAAAATAAGACCTTAATGATATCCAGGCACAGAATGGACAGAGATACGATATCCAAACACCCACGTGCACACACACATATGCAAATACAGCACCAAAATTTTAGTTTCTTTACAAGGTCACACAAAGTGCACCTATCTCAAGACAAAGTGCTCTTTAACTCAGAGGGGATCTGGATGAGACCTATAGGTGTAATGGAAGGACATTCTAGGGCACCAGCGACATGCGTAAAGGGTCCAGAAGGGGTAGAACACATGTAGGCAAGGGTACCTTTCGTAAGGAGCGCGCAGGGGAGAGCTGGAGGGAGGTCGCTGATCTGGTGGTGGAAAGCATCAAAGTGCATCGAGAAGTGTCCTAAAGGGGAAGACACAGCCGGACAGAAGACGGGTTGGAGAAAGAGCGCGTACATACACTCAGATGCGCACAAACATGCATACAAAGGGGCGGGCAATATGATAATATGTTATCATGACTGTGATATATTACGTCACGATACACTTTTCTGAGTAAATTATGGGTATTATCAATACTCACAGAACGAGTTTAATAGTAATACTCATATTCTACATAAGCAGAATATGAGTAATAGGGCAACCACTTCATTCCATGTAATTAGGTGTATATGGCCACCCAGTGTTTGTCCCTGGTGACGCTTGTGCATGCGCACTTGAACAATGTGTATCATTTAGTCAGTCAGTGACTCGGTAAGAAACAGCAACTCTCGTAGGATGGTCTTCTGGGCAGTCCAGCAAAAAGATAAGATATATGCCATTTTACAGAGCCTGTAAACAACAGCCAATCTGTAACTACACAAACCACACTGTAAAGCAAGGTAAAGCAAGTTTATTCATATAGCAAATTTCATCTACATTATTTATTTACTTATCTACTTATTTCATTCATTTTATTTAATAATAATAATATGGTTAATAATAATATAAGGTTGAATTAAAAACTAAATAACTGTACTCAGCTTTTCATAGCCATTTTTAAAAAATGTGGCACCATTTCTTTGCTGGCGTCCATTCCATCTTTAAACTTTAAAACTTTTCGTATCGTGATATGTTTGCCATATTGCCCACCCTTACACACACAGTAAATGAAAACTACAGTGGATGCTTTCTAAATGTATTTCTGTAGCATTCAGGACAGGTATAAAAAGGAAATGGGAGTTTCATATGGGGTAGGGAATCTGCAAAAGACACAAGGGACAACCCTAATGTTCCAGAAAGGCACACTTCTGACACAGATACCTAAAGAGAGTGCCCCAAAGCATGACACAGACCATACTTGTCCAGCTCTATTCATTTTTGTCATATGAATGATCCAATACAGCTCGATTAAAATCATGCTCGAATTAGCACGCTCCCAAAAACTACCTTAACAATGACAAAAGAAAGCCAGGTACTGAGGCTCAGTCATGCATAACAGATATCACCATATCAAAGACCATTTTTTATCAGAATGGGGAAACATTCTGAATCACATTACCTTCCCACATTGCATATTTTCAAAGCTGTTGTTTTTTTTTTGTTGTTGTTTTTTTTTGGTAGCAGTTCTTCGGTGCAGCTCTGTAACTGTGCAAGTGGATATTCAGGATATATTCTCTTACCAGACGGAAGACTGCGTGGGGGCACTGGGGGAGCCATCACACTTCCTACATGGGCGGAGAGGAAAGGAAAGGCGTCTCTGGTGCCACTGTCCAAACTCCAACTGCTAGGAGCGGTCAGCACTGCCAGGGTGACAACGAATGACCGCCTATCACTGAGGAATAACTACTGATCACTAGACACCGTTTACAGGTGAACTGGGCACAGTGATGCCTGCGCTAGTCTGAAACAACTGACTTTCAAACATCCATTGAAAGTCCAACTGATAACTGGTCTCCAGGCTGCATAACACTGACCAAATGAATAATCACTAATATATATATATTTCTATCGTAGGGACTTGGTTGAACTCATTCTGGGGCAGAATGAAGAGAGTGTTTGATTGAAGACAGGACCATTGACATAAAACTAGAACTGAAATGAAAGGACTGTGCTAGACAGGTACAGTGGGTTTAAATGAACAGAAGATACCTTTCTCAGCCACAGAAAGATTGGGGTCGCTGCATGGCTTGCATGGACCAATGACCTGATGGAATAAGGCCCTCTGGATGTTGGTTGGCTGTAAAGAGGACAAAAGTGGGTAACGTTTAAGCATAGTCATGGACTGAATAGCATTCTAAATGTAGATTCTCTACTGAAAGGAAAATACAGTCCAGGACTAGCCTTAATCACTGTTTGGGAAACCAACCCCTAGTGTTTACTTTTCCAAATTAAAAATATGAATACACTGACTATATTGAAAACTGCATAAAAAAAATCATAAAATAAAATAAATAATTAATTAGAAGTATGTTAAGAGGTCATCAGTAGACACAAGGTTATCCAATTATTAATTTAGTAAAGCACCAATCACTGAAAATATAGATCACATTGGTGGATCACATTTAATAGCAAACTATTTGCAAAATAAAAGTTGTGTAGTATTTGTTGCAGTACTTTACAAGCCCTTGTTTTTCTCCTCAAATAAATACCTGTCCGTTCTCAGTCACGTTTGGGTACATGGCACTGCTGGGTCGGTCTCGATGGGGTGGCAGCAGCATCAGCATCTCGCGGTTGTGCCTGTATTTGTCAGGCAGTGATGGGGAGCCAACTGAAAAGAGAGAGAGTCATTTTAGATCCTCTCATAGGTTAATGACTAACTGTTAGTCTCTCTCCAGGAAGGTACTGTACAGCCTTTGTTTTTTCAACTCAGCTCATTCAATTAATTATCCGAGATTAATTAAATAATCATATTATATTTTACATATGCAATTCTGCGGTCTACCAGGATTTGTGTTTGAGATCCCTGTCTGATGTTTTGGACTACTGTTTGATTTATTGTGTGAAGAAGTTGTAAATTTTAATAAAATACCTTAGAACTTACACAATGCTTAGTACTTATAAATGTAGAATGCTAACATTTAGTTAATAATAAATGAAAGCCAGCAGAATTAAAATAATGCAAACAAGGTTATGCTAACTGATCTTTGTCAGTCCTCATTGGTTAGCCACGTTGGCAAATTTGACTGAAGATTTTTGACTGAAGTGTTTCGTTCAGTGACTGTTTTCGGGTTTGACTTTAGCTAATATAATATTTCTATTTTATGTAGCTCACCTCGGATGCTGTTGGGGCCTGAGTTAATCATCTGAGATGGAGCTGAGTGTGTGGAGCTCAGGCTGGACGTTGATGGACTGGGCTACAAATTCAAAAAGGAAAAGAGAATATATATTTAAGTTCACCTTCAGCTCGTCCTGCACATAAATAAACAGACATTATTAACTAAGCACCACAGAGCACATAATTTGTCTAAACACTATGTACCTGTGTTTTATATTTACTTTGCATTCATTTTACTTGTGTGTCATTTGTTTAAGTAAGCTATAAGGACAGTACAATATAATTTAACATATATTTTGCTCACTTTATTGTTTTTCTTGATGGATTGTGTCTCTTACCTTTAAAGTACTTTGAGCTGAATGAAAGCATTCTAACAGGTGCTGTATAAGTAAACTGGTTAGTGAGGTGTTCGGGCTGACCTGCATGCGGTAGAGGTCCTCTGGGTGCTCCAGCAGCATTCCGTCAGTGAGGATGAGGAGGTTTCCGGTCTCACTGGAGGTGTGAGAGGAGAGGGAAGAAGAGGAGTGGCGGATGGAACCCAGCAGATTAAGCGGGCTGGAGAGAGAGAGACAGTGTAGGGGAGGAGCCGATGGGAAAAGAAAGGTATGGTGGAATGGATGGATGTGTGGAAAATGGTGGTGCAGAGGGATAGATGTGGAAGACCAAAGTGCATGCAAGACCAAAGGGAATTTGACATTCCAAAAAGACAATAAAGGGGTGAACCAAGGTGGAGAGAAATGGAATAGAAGGATGAAAGAATGAAGAGGGCGAAAAGCAAAGAAGCAGAAAACAATACACATGGGAGCAAAAAAGTTATGCCAGAAAAACCACAGAAATGGCATTGAGGGCACAACATGCACAGAGATGAGGACAAAATGTGAAAGAGTTTGCAAGACAGAACCATGTGGTTGAAAAAGAAGAATAATAGGTGAACACAAAAGTGAGTGCAAGGGAGGGAGTTGGAGGTAAGCAGAGAGAAAACGATAGGAACACAGTGAGAGAGAGTAATGAGAGACACTGGGACAGTGGAGGCCAGCATTTGTGGTATGTAAGTGAGAGTGTATAAGGCATGGGGAGCATAGTGGCCAAGGTGTGCTCGTGAAACATGAGGGAGGGGGTACAGAGAGCAGGTTCTCTCTCCAAAACCCAAAGCAATGTGTGTGCAGTAGCACACTAACTGATCTTAATAATGGTTTTATCTAGGGCTGGGTGATATGGTTCAAATTATATCTTCCTATTTTCCATTCTTTTGGTGACAATATGCAAGATATACAATATATAATACAATATATATGATATTCGTACATTCTCTCTGAGGCTGCTTTCACATCTATACTAAAAGGCCAAAAGTTCGTGGACCCCAACTCATCCTACTCATGTTTCCTCCAACATCCAGAGTATTAAAAAGGAGTCTGATCTTATTTGCTGCAGTAACAGTCTCTACTCTTCTGTAAGTGGTCCATGTTGCATGAGCTTGATGTGTGCTTGTTGTACTTACCTATGTCTGTGCATAAGTTTGATGCTCTCTGGGCTCATGGGACTGTGGGAGGTCAGGATGCCTCGCGGGTTGCTGGCCGAACTCAGCTTATCAAGGCCAGGCAGGCCCTGCAGGGCCACATAGAAACACTGCCCTGAATATCCACACTGTCTTCCCTGTCACTCACACACACAATTCCTAGCACTAAGGTAACAGTGTTTTTTTTTTTTCTTGGGGGTTCACACTGCATTTTTCACACTGTTCTGACTGCTTATCTCCCCGTTGCTAAGTAACAGTAGTGTTGTAATTGTCAGTCAGCTGTGTTAGCTTAATATCACTTCGATATGTAGAGGCAGAGAGTTTAGCTACTACTGTTAACTAGTATACGCGGTTCTGTTAGCAAAAAAAATACGAGTGGTATCTAAGTAGTCAGTGCAGAAAAAAACGCTCACATTATAGGGACTGGATTCCTTCAAACTGACACTTGTTTTGCTCAGGATGCCTGGAGCGCTCAGCACAAAAAAACAGCTGTGTAGTGTGCATAAAACGTAAGGCGCTCAGTAAAAAAAATAAAACAAAAAAACACCTGTGTGAAAAATGCGTCTCCTTCATTGAAAATGCACGGTGTGAACCCCACTCCACCCTTACTGAGGATATAGCTTTTGTTATGGAATACATCATTTCTAACTGAATGAATATGCAAGCAAATGGTAAGCCGGATAAGACTGGTCATTATGTAAAACATTAATGAATGATTGACACTGATTCCCTGAATGTGTAGAACAGAAACAGAGTTGAGCTCTCACATGGCACAGACTGCTCCTCATCATCTGGAACTGATCTATCAGCTTCTTATGCAGAGGCCGCATTTCAGGGTGCACCAGTTTCTCATGTACAGCCAGTCCTACACCCAGGATGTGAACCTAAAAGGCAAGACAACATACCATGGACTTACTGATCATATCCAAACATGGATGGTTGTTTAACTATGGAGGTTTTGACTGAAGGTGTTTTGCATTCACCTGGTCCTGCATGAGGTCCTTCAGCTGAGTGATCTTTTCAGTGTCCTCTGGATGGGTGCCAATGTACTCCTTATCAAAGAACGCCTGGACAGTGGATATAAGAGCGTGTACACACACACAGCTGATCAAATAGCACCAAACATTTAATTTGGACTGAACTCAGTTTTACATTTCATCTTACAATCGAATTTAAGAGAGTGGTTAAATACTTATATATTACCACAAACCTGACATCTCTATATAAAGACGCATATTTACCAACCTTCCATCACCAAATCTGCATATTATATGCTTATAACTACATTTTCTACGTCAGCTTTTTTTAGAAAAAAAAAAAACATCAGTTGCTTGTTACATTCTGTCTGTTACAACGTTTCATGACGAATGAGATCAACAGAATGTTTGATAAGCAAACTTTACACAGGGATATACAGGGTTTTCTTGACACAGCAACAATGTGCTGAGATTAATTTTTCAGCATTTCAGCCATTCACCTAATTTGATTAAACTTGATTATTAAAGCTCATATGTAGCAACTGAATCTCTCTCGACTGTTCGCTATACGGCTCAAACTATAAGATGGAGCTCTAACCTCCTGGTATCTTGCGATGCCCCCGTTGACAGCTGCGTCGATGACCCCGTTGAGGCACATGCTGAGCAGGTTGATGTTGCCGTGCAGCTGCTTATGCTGGTACTGACTGATTAGAGTCCGCAGCTCCTGGTTCTTATTCTCCACCACTGAGATGGCGTTCTCCAGTGGGCTAACTTCAACCTAGGAGGGAAATAAAAAGTACACTGGGATTTTGGTGATAACAAAAAAACATGCTTAATTATTTCTCACTTGTAGCATGCTGAAGAAATTCTGATGAAAGTGTAGATTCTAAACTTTCAATTAACATCACATTTGCAAGCAAAGAAATATTTTATTTGTCAGTTTCCCCCCTTTGAATATAGAATGTAAAAATGAATGTAAAATGCAATTCATTATATAACAAACTCTATAATTTTGAGGGCCAATAGCTAGGTGGTCTGCTCCTAGAGGGGCCAGTTAAAAAATTCAATGGGAGAAAGAGTCCCACACAGTCAGGTCCATAAGTATTTGGACAGTGACACAGTTTTGTTATTTTGCTTCTGTACGTCACTGCAATACATCTGAAAAGAAGCAATGACGATGTGATTGAAGTGTAGACTTTCAGCTTTAACCTGGGGTTTAACAAAAATAATGCATTAACCATTTATGAATTACAGCCACCTTTTACACAGTCCCTCCATTTTCACAGGCTCAAAAGTAACTGAACAAACTAACATAATTCTAAATATAAAGAATATCTTTAATACCTGGATGCAAATTCTTTGCAGTCAGTGACTGGCTGAATCTGGAACCCATGGATGTCACCAAACACTGAGTTTCCTCCCTTGAGGTGCTTTGCCAGGACTTTACTGCAGCATTTCATGTTGCTGCTTGTTTGTCTGTATTTCTGCCTCCTGTTTCATCTTCAGTAAGTAAAAAGCATGATCAACTGGGTTGAGATCAGGTGACTGACTCTGCCAAGTCTTATCTGGCCTGTCTGTTCTTGAGTGTTACCAGATGTTTACATCTTGAGGTAAACCCTCTGCAGTTCCATTTATGAAGGGGTATTTTGATTGTAGACTTGATTATAGCCAATAATACGCCAACCTACTCTAGAATGTCTTTGACTTGACTACATGTTGTGATAGGTTTTTATACCACGGAAAGAATTCTGTGATTGTCCACTTTAGCTGTCTTCTGACGTCTTCCAGGCGTTTCGGTGTTGATTAATGCAATATTTTTGTTAAACCTCTTGAGTTAAAGCTCCTACTCATCTCCTACTCATGTGCACACACATGCACACATCTGCACTTTACACACATATATTTGTATTTTATTATATCCCTATTTTGTGTAGATTTTACATGCTTCTTCTCTTTGTTATCTTCTTATCTTTTCTGTTGTATATTCTGTTTTTTATTGCAACAGAGTGTCACATTTTGCTGTATGTTATACTGTTTATATCTGTGAGAGTGACCAATAAAGCTTGATTTGATTTTTTTTTAATTGAGACCCCTGATGTAAATAATAACATTTAAATATTACTGCCAAACTTGTAAGCTTCTTAGTTTATTTAACAATGAAACAAAGGCCATGACACAAAGACATGAAACACTAACCAGCTCTCTCTTCTCCACCTCAAACCAGCGTGAGATCCCTGGCAGGGGGTGAGTGAGGGTGAGGGTGGTCCTCTCAATCCAGAGGCTCTGCAAAACACACAAGCCAAAGATATAATCTTGTTTTTTTGCACTGATATAGCTTATTTGCACCTAAAATGGCTCATTTGCTGACCTTAAACTCATTCTCCTTGTCTTTGGGCCCCTTGTGGAAGGGCCGGTCATAGCGGAAGCGTCGCACATTGTTGACCCGGTAAAAGCTTTTGATACGGTCTGGAACGCGGTCCATCTGAAGCACGTCCACATTCTCTGGCACTGGAGTTACTGCGTAGATCTGCAAGTCTAAGTGGCCTCTTGTCAAGGAATAATTTGTATGCATTTTGAAGAAAGTTAGGCTTTTGAAAGAATACATTAAGCTAATGCACATTAGTGTAACATCCAGGAGTAGTACATTTCCTATTGTATCTTTGCAGAAGAACTAAAATAAATCTAAAACAACTAACTACAAAAAACTGCATGAAATCTCTTACACTTATTAAAATTCAAATAAAGCTTTCGTTTTCTTCTTGTTCTTGCCAAAATCCCCAGACAAATCCCATATTCTCTTTATCACTGAAGGATACACTGAGCATCGCACTGCAAAATTGCCTCATCTGGTTGATTGGGATGCTGCATGGCAATGGCTTGTGGGAATTCTCCCAGCATTCTTTGCTGAAAAGCTTCAAGCCTCTCATAGTCATGCCCCCGGCAAACAAACTCCTTATTCTTTGTGAAGAAGAAAATTATACATTTTATACTCAACATTAAGCAAAAATAATGGCCTTCAACTTTCTTAAGCCACTGAAAAGTCTTTGCCTACCCTTCTTGCATTAAAATTGGATTTAGATTCAACTCTACTAGCTTGTTAACTTAACCTTCAGCATCAGGGGAAAATAACAGAACTTGCTCTGCCTCATCAGTCATGGTTATAAATATTAACAGAGTGAAAAAGATTACATGAACTTACCCTGAGGAAAAAGGGAAATTTCCGACCGTAAAAGCCCACCCTGAAGAATTCGGGCTCTAGTCTCTGCTGCTCCATAATGTTGTCATAGTAGGCTGCCTCCATTTTCTATAAAGATTAAAATATCTCAGCTTTGCTCACCTGAATTTTAAAATGACAGTGTCTAATCCACAAATTGTTTCTCATAGATAACCACCGAAGTCATTATGGATAAACGTGAGACTGCTCATTCTAATTAAAATTACAGCCTGAGCAAAAATATGTTTGAGCTCTAGATGGGTTTAGGAATTTTAAACACACCTTGCTCATAGTAAAACTTCAGTTACTTTATGAGTTCACACTGCCTCATTCAAGTGGGACTTACCCGAATCCAGCTGAGGCTTTGATAGTCGTATAAGGATTCATATTGGAAGGCCAACTCTCGACATAAAGGAATACCAAATTCCCAGCACTGAGGATAGACAATACCACAAGATCTCATCACTGCCATACATTTGACAGTTATATTTAGTATTATGTAACTACTAGTATGACTTTTGTCAGTAAGCTTTGCATCATTAGTTCATGCATCAGTTACTGAATATACAAGCATTACAATATCATACTTCATTTGAACAGATATGCTGAAAAAATATATGAAGAAAATAAGTTTTTTTATACTCAACAATAAAGTAAGAGGCTGTTTTTCCTTGTGTTCTAACTCTGCTGGACAACTTAAACCTGGATTTTTGACCTTGGGCATATTTCTTATGCCAGATATGGAACTGGTATTATTTACTACATGAATATACCAACTTATAATACTGAAAACATTAATGAGAAAGATTAGCCAAAATAACTGAATGGCTCATCAGAGATGGTACTAGGAATGCTAGTAAGCATTAGACCATACTAGGTTCCAGTTACTCACATTGTCTTCTTACTGACTACGTAATTTTGGTTAAATGTCCCTTTAACTACCATATCTAAATATAAAGCAGTGAAAAATCAAAAGTACATAGTTTCCTCCTTACCTCAGATCTAGTTGATTACCCAAGACATGTTTATTGTCTGAGGTTTGCTTCTATAGTTTTGCAAAGAGGCTAATGTAGCGCCCTTGTCTCAAACTGCATCAAGTTATGCAATCTCAAATAAACTAGATTCAGGCATGTCGACTATATTTAGTTTAAACTGTGTAAATTATTTTTCCTGTCAATGTGGATTTGCTGACATTTGTTGGGATCCTACCTTGCCCTTGTTGAAGTAGTGGATGACCTTGCGGCAAAGGCCCTCTTTGCGGTGCCATTCGCTCTGGGCCGGGTAGTGGAGAAACTCCCGGAGGGGTCTCTCCTCCCACTGTAACAGCTCCCAGTAGAGGAGGAGAGTGAAGGCAGCCTCTGTGGAGTGGCATGACCAGTCAACCATGCTGACTCTGACTCTCAGAGTGGAGTTTCAAAAGAAGTACTGCGATTTGTGCTATGAAAACTTTTGAACCAGGCTTAAAATAAAATGGCTTGCTTCTCTAACCACTCACTTTTACTTTTCTTGAACAAAGTACCAAATTTAGCATAATATACGATATATTAAGTCAAGCCAGGGCTTTTGAAGAGCTGATAAAGTAAACAACCACTGTCACATAATACATATATCAACTACAACTGCAGCTGTCTAGAAGGGTTCAAATGGCTACCTGTTCTTTATTTTTTTTTTATATTAACTTTATTTGGTTTTCATCAAAATATGAAAATGGCAGGAACAGAGCATAGAAAATCACCATCTTTACATAAGAATCTTTTAAATAAATTCTACAGATTAAATAAGTCCCACAAGTCCATATCCCTAAACAATATGTTGATTGTCTTCAGCCTTTTCAGCTGAGTTATAATTTTTTTTACCCGGCTGATTGCTGTTTCTCACCTGTGTAGTTCTCTGCCTGCAGGTGCATGTCACACAACTTGTGAATGTAGCGGATGTACATCTCCTCCTTATTGATCTCAGACTTATAGAAGTTCTATAAGGTGAAATGACAATAAAAGATTTAAAAAAAAGAGTTGATTCAAAAATGTTACTTTTGCTAATAAGGAATTAAAACTAGGACGGAGCAGACTAGTAAATTACTGAAATAAGGTCAACATATCACTATTAGCTTTTTACCAGCATTTGCGCATGCGCTTAAAATGAACTACTAAACTCACTAGCAAGTTCACTGTGCATCCAATCTTCTTGTTCTCCGTCTCATCTCCCTTCATACAGTCTCTGTCCACATAAAGCACACAAAAAATATAAATATAAAAATGTAACATCTCAACACTGTCATAATAGAAAAAAATAACAATAACAGTTTGTAAAAAGTGAGTAACTTTCCCTTGCCTTTACTTGATACATTCTAGCCTCGATTTCAACAAAGAATTCATAAGTTTGAATTCATAAGTTTGATATATTCTGTACAATTTGTCTCAATTAACTCAGTGTCACAAAAATTAACAGTATGTAAGAATGCAAGACATGCACAATTTGTGCCAGAGGTAACTGTATTTGTAGTTCAAAAGACTTCTGTCAGCTTAAAAAGCAATTTGTTGAGAGTGAGTGCAGATACATAAAAGTACTGAAGAATGCTGGCACCGAAACTCCCACCTGTAGTCTAGCAACCTCTCCATCAGACGAGTAACAGAGGTGACAAAAGAGATGCCTGTCTCTCTCCATGTCTCCTGCTCAATCTTCTCCAAAAGACTAAGACAAAACACCAAAAACAAACACTGTCAGTCTTCTCAAAGTGCTTCCGAGTCAAAATAAAATGGACTCTTAAGCTGGCAGTATACTTCAAACGAAAATGAAAAAAAGACCACAATAATGCACAGTGCTGTGCGTGGGTGCTAAACAGAACTTTAAAATTGCTGCGCTGTTTGTCCTGAGACCTCCCCCTGACTGTAATTTGTCCACGTCACACTGTTTCCTGCGTCACTGCACTCTAGCAGTGATGAGTGTCAGAAAGACATACACCAAGTTCTTTTTAAGTATACTTATAACAGCGTGTTTGACAGTAGTTCAATTTCGTTTAGTCCTGCTGTTGTGTGAAATACACTGCCAGCTTTACTGAAAGAGAAGCTCAGATGACACAGATAGTAGGCAGGTTGATATTAGTTGGCAGAAGACTGAAGTGGTTAGCTTCATCTTACCTGGGATAGGGCCCAAAGAGCTGAGTACTATTTTCCAGCAGCACAAAGCAAAGATAGTGGGGTTAGAGTGAAGTCAGACAGAAGTATTGTTAATGCTGAAAGTTAAAAAGAAACAGAGATGTGTGTGTTCTGCCTCATCAGTTTCCTGCAGCTCTGTTTTAGGTATATAGATATGTGCGAATGTATGTGAATGTATGCATGTGCAGTGTGTTTTTGTATATTTTCAGGACTAAAATGTCCTGACTTCATAGAAAAACCTAAGAAAAATAGGGCTAACCTACAGGACCAAACGATTTCTTTGTAAAGCTTTTTATAAAAGCTACATGTTTCATTTTTTTAAACTAAAATTATTTTTGGTTACTGATATTAAGGCTAAGGTTAAGATTAGGCTTAGGCTTATTTCACATAGGTGCTTACATTACACATTATACATACAGAACACATGGTCACTATTGTGCAAAAAAAACCCTCCATTTTTGTCATTGTCTTTTTTTTTTAAATAACAATTTTCAAAATTTTTAAATATCGTGATGAACATGCGTACAGAAACTGTCCATTTCAGAGATACAAGGTTTTGTACCAACAGCGACAAAATGTATGACTCTGTGCGAGGTGTTTACGAGTGTGTGTGTGTGTGTGTGTGTGTGTGTGTGTGTGTGTGTGTGTGTGTGTGTGTGTGTCTGTGTGTGTGTGTAAACTCACAGCAAACCAAAGAGCTCTCTGTAGTTCTCATCTCCTTTGCCCTCAGACACTAGACTGTCCAGCTTATCTATAAGCTCTGCCTCCACCTGGAAATACAAAAAGGAATGAGTCTCATACAGACCATGGCAGGAATGATCTTATACCTGGGGAGGACCACTCACTAACTGAAATTAATTCAGTCTCCAGGACAATCCACAGAAGGTTAGAGGTTAGTCTTCTGTGTACATTCAACAAGGATATTATATAAAGTTGCTATGCCCGTTTAGAGAAAGTTCTTACCTGTTTGAAGTTGCCATTCTTGCGTTGTTCCCAGTCCATCATGTCGTGAAAAATGGGGATCATGATGTTCCTGACCTCGCTCTGGGGGACTAGTGTTACCCCCAGAAATGGTCCGATCATGCCCGGGATAAAGTGAATCTTATTTTCACCTAGTGGAAAAAGAATCACACCAAAAACCAAAACTCTCAAAACAAAAAGTCTCAACTAACATATTACTCCTCCTTAAGACCACTAAATTGAGGCTGTATCATGTATGATATTGAATGACATTTATTCATGTGAATGACATAGGTCTGCAGCTTTTCATGTTTGATTTGATATATAATACATATATAATACATTCTTCCAGACGTATTGCCTTTAAGTAGGCTATTCAGAAAGTACAGGCTAAAATATGCATCAATGAACCACTGAAAAAATATAATCTTGAGCTGTTTTTATGGTCAGTCTGGCATACTAGCCACAGAAACAGTCTTTTGAGATGGGATCATTTATGGAAGTGGAGTCATAGGGCATTCTTTTGAACTCTAGTCTTGGGACTGCTGTATTTTCTTTTGTCTCTAGAGGTCAGTGTTGCTTTTCCAAAGAAAGCTCCTTGAATGTGGGCTAATGTGAACAGGGACAGCAAAAGGAGAAAACAGAAAAATATCAGAATGAGTATGAAGCAGAATGAGAAGGAAAAACTCACCAAGGTTTTGCCACATGCTAAATAGCTCGTAGGCCATCATGACTCTCATATCGCCATATCTGCAAAACAAACAAGAACAAACACAAAAAATAAACAGAGATTGAACAAGTGGTGGGTAATGAGTTGGTGACAAGCTGTAGAATGTTTGGACATGAAGGAATATCTCTCTCGTCTTCTTCCATCCTCATGTTGAACTGGTCAATTAACCTATCCTTGCTCTGCCCACAAAAGCATGCTTTCATGGCAACTGTTGTAAGACTGGACAAGCTTCACAGCATGTTGGCAAAATCCTTTTGTACTTAATGGCACACGACTGGCACACATGTATTTGTCAAAGTCTGTGAATTATTCATATTAGAGTTGCAATTTATTGCTTTTATTTTGGCTGATCTGTTGCAATTTTATGATGTACACAATGTGAGAAATAATGTGAGGCAGGTGAGCACATTCACTCTGTATTTGAAAGATGCAGCTACACCTGTACTAAAATTTTGTTCCAAATTTATGCATGATTGTGCATGACAGCCAGTTGGCTCTTTCTTTCAATGTAGCACAAAATATGCAACAATTTTTTTGTTTATGAATTTAAAATGCTAGTACGGCCTTAAAGAGCAAATGACATTATTTATGTTGTGATCATTACGTACAGAAAGCACTGGAGATGTGCTTCACATGCTCATTTGCTCATCGCCAAAAAAATCAACCACTTTTTCTGTAAAGAAATCGGAAAAGAACTGGCTGTAAAAAATTTATTTTGGTGCACCTCTAAGTCATATGCTATGCTAGCTACTCAAATGCTGAAGTAGATGAACTATGTTGCTGGACAATGTAGCAGTTGTTTTAGATAATCAAAACTAGGCAGACTAGAAGTGACAACAGTATGACCCGCCACGCAGATAAAAATAAATACATTTTTAAGTGAATAACAGACTCTAAATATAGGTTTTCTGACAGCAAGTGACTTGTGCGCTACAATTTCTTATTAAGTGTTCTGTGAAGTGCCAGGGTTCTGTAAAGCTCGTCCAACCTTAGACCAGAATGCATTTGAGAGTAAAGCATCTATAGGTCAACTGATCATTTCTGGACAGTTATTTCATAATTTTGTTTACAAGTGAAAAAAGCAGTATGTATGGAAACTCTCAATAAATAAATCCTATGTACAGACGAGGACTCATTTGGACCTGTACATTTTACACAGTGGCAATCCTGACATTTAAAGACATTAAAAGAATGGATGTGATTCATTTAAAAAACAAAATCTTGCAGCCAAGGCAAAGTACAGACACTTCACTATCTATGCACTGCCTTATATCAAAGTGAAGCTTCAGATTAGTCTGGCATACTTGCCACAAAAGCCAACTAGTAGAGCTTGTGACTTACAAACAAAGCCAGACTATGACTGTTACAATATAATTTTGGCCATTTTCATGAAGTGGGAAAAACCCCTTCATCACAAGTATACATACTGGTTTTAATATTACTAAACACTGGACTGACACACATCACTACAAAAGTTAGAGACCACCCTTCTATTTATTTGATTTCTAGTCAAAACGGCTAATAAAGCAACATTATGTAACAAATGTACCTTAAAACAACAGATTCACAATCATTCTAATTGTACACTGACTTATAATAGGGAGAACAGAGTCTCTGTAATTGCCACTTCAGGCCCGAAACACCTGACTTTGGTGAAGCGTGTACAAGACCTCCCACCAGAACTGCGTAACACTCTATGGCACCACATCACTCACAAACAACTACGTCCTCAGCTAGCTGTAAAAAGAAGCTAGCTCGGTATCCCCAGCATGGACATCATGGCAGAGGTTGTGAAGTGACCAAAAAAAGACGTTGTCAGAGGAAGTGAGGTAGAGAAAAAGAGAAAGCGACCGAGCAAGAGTCCGGACAAGACTGTTTTTTACTCGCTGGCGAGAGCTACAAGAGGTAAAAGGATGCGAGACAGATACTGAGCTGGTCTTCCTCCTGTTGGATTAGTAAGTAATAACTTACTAGCTGGGTTACTTGTGTTGTGTTGTTACGCTTGCTTGATGTTTTGCTGTGTTAGCAAAGTTATTGACTTGCTTTTGTGCATCCTATTTTCACTTTAACTCTTCAGTTTAATGGCGAAAGGAGATAGTTTTGAGGAGATTAGATGGAAGATAAGCCACCTGCATAAGGAAGGAAAAAGTCATAGAAAAATAAGTGAAAAACAGAAATTTCCTGAACTGGAAAAAATAAAAGATACTTGGAACTTGGTGGATCACCAAAACTATCCTCATCAGATAAACAGCACTTTCAGTTTTTGAGAGGAAAAATCAAGCTTCACTCTTGCTTCAGAAATGAAAAAAATCTTCTGTCCATCCTTCCACTGAGAGAAGACAACTCAGCGCTATGGGTCTGAAAGGATGTGAAGAAGCTCTTACTGAGAAAAGGACTCTAAAACTGAACACTAAAACTTGATATCTGAGAAAAGGTTTTATGAAGTGATGAATCTAAATTGAATCTAAATTTGCAATTGGGGCCATGAGAAGCAGAAAATTTAACCAATTTCTATGACTAAACTTGAACAAATATTCCTCAGATTTTTTTAAAAAAACTAAAACCAAGTCTCCAAAAAATGGAAGGCAAATGCTGGACACACTTAATATTGAAATAAGTGATATTATAAATAGTTGCTGAGACTTTTGTGTAATTTTCTGTTACATGTAATGTCATTTAACACCACTTAAAAATGAATAATAATATAATTGCTGCTTTGACTGTAAGAGAAATATATGAAAAGGTGGTCTCTGACTTTTGCGCAGTACTTAGTCAAGATAATTCCATAAGACTTACTTAAATAATGACCTATCGTCAGTCATAAGAAATCTGTTGCCAATCTACACTTTCAAAAACATTGTTACTACAGTAATTGCTGAGTGGTACTAGAGACATCAGCATGCTTAAGTAACTGTAAGACTCAGGAGGCAAAGAAAACTGCAAGTCTTATGAAGCACGTGAGCAAACGAAAGGACACTGTCAGGCAAGAGTGTGTTTTGTTGTTTGTGTGCAAGGCTAATCCAGGCTTTTGCGTGTTAGGATTAATTTGTGTGTGTTTGGCTTCAGGAAGGCAAACATGATGAGCAAGAGGCCTCCTGCAAGGAACACACAAACAAACACACGCACACACAAACACTCATTAAAGCAACTTCAGAAACTACTAATTAATCATGCATGTTACACTTATAAGAGAACCCATAAAACACACAAACATACTCAACAGGGAAGAAGCCCTTCAATTTCAAACACTTTCATTCTGTCAGCCTCTAACCCACACAGACTCACATTCAGACAGTGTGAAGAACAGGTCTATTAATCACAAGCGCACCCAGCAACACTAGAATATATTCAGCAATCTGACTGCCTCTCAAACTAGGGCAAATGAATGCACACTGTGCATATATGTGTATACATGTAATGTAGTTTTACAATGTATATGCAAGCCTAAGTAAGCATGTATGTCATGGGTGCTCAAGAATGCAAACATTAAAGCATGTGAAAACTTACAAGTTGGCATTAATATGAATGTGCGCTTTTAAAGCATCGCTGTGATACAAACTTGCTAGCAGGAGAGAGGTTCTGGTTCCACATGCTGTGTCCGAGATTAGAAGGCTCAGTTAAGGAGTCTAGCTGAGGAGGATGAATCCCTGCATTTCTTTTCTTCTCGCGTGCGCCGACACACCCGGTTACAACCGATGGAATCGTTCCAGCTTGTGATAAACGTACCCATTCGTGCAGTACCCGTTCCATCAATGCCATATCTCGAAAATCCGCCTTTTGGACACAGCAATTTTGTTGTTCTTCATTTTCAAATTATTTGCAATAGATGTACTCATAAAAGTACCCCGACTGCCATCAGCAATTACAGGCGATTCCCTCTGCCCTTACAGCAAAAACACGGTTAGTAGATTTGGACTGCTATTTATAGTGCAAGGCTTATTGAGTTGTGCAGGAAGGCAGCAAATATGGAGTGACATTTCACAGAGGTTTGAGAGCCAAGGGGCCACTTGAGTCATGGTGCAGAAGTTTTGAGGGGAGGAGAGCAAGCTTAGAAAGCACTCTCTAAAAACACTAATTAGATCAGTCTAACGCAAAATGCTCTGTATGTAAGAGTTTAGAGCAGTACATAAGCTGACCACACCATGTCTGACCTAAACACTGTTCTGAAAGTATTCATTAATTTTAATGCATACATTTAACATTCTGATTCAGACTTCGTTTGAGGCTACTTACAAGACAATCTGTAGAAGAATGCAAAAAAAAAGTTTGTTCATTTCACGTGTAAATCGGGGTGTAGCTACAAAGGGCCTGGGTCCTCTCACTTGGAAGCCAGACCCACCTGCTCAAAAGAAAATAGTCCTCCAATGCCAGTAAAAAAATTTCAAAATGAAATTCATCTTGTGTTCTTCTAATACAGGATGAACTCAAAGAAGCTTCAGCTTGAATAAATAAACATGATCACCAAAGCTAATCATCACCAATATTCATCAGCTACCAGCACCATGGCGATGTGTACAAGGCTGTATGCTGCCATTTGAGTAGTCAAGTTGACCATGGCAAAGAAAACAAAGCAGGAAAAAACAATGCGGAAATCAGAGTCTTCAACCATTTGTCCCAGACATCTACACCTAGTACTGTAAAAAGTATGCTTTTTACTTTAACTAGGCAGTTACACGTCAGATCAGCAATCATTTTTTGCATTTAAAATATCCCTCTTTTCCTCTTTGATTATGGTAGCTACAATGACATAGGCTAGCTGATGGTTGTCAATCTCACTATAGCAATGTATCTGGGACATAATTCTTCCTAATTGTCTGAAATGAAATTCTGGTGGTTGATTCATGAATGGATACATTCATTTGTACTTTTCCTGTATACTACATACTATATCCCTACTTACTGTAGCTGTAATCAAGCAAAGTATAAAGCATTTGTTGATGTTTATGACAAGATTGAAAGCTTACACACTGATAAACAGCTCTTCCATAAAACACTGACTTATGACTGTCTTATGAATCTAGTTTCATCAGGCATTTGGTTGCCAGTCTGACAGCTCGATCCGTCAATAAATATTTTAGAATCACAGAGTGTCAATGAATGAAAGGGAATGAGAGATTGAGTCTTACTTGTCAAGAATCTTCTTTCTCTTGGCTGGCGTTAAGGTCTCAAGCTGTAGGCTGGGCTGATTTATGTACAGCACTGCCAGACTGAAGTACGAATTCCATACCTAGTATAGAGAAGGATCCACATCACAAACAAACTTAAAATAAATACGAAATCAGTTTCGGTGTCAGGTCCAATGTCCAAACCATTTTTAAATAAGCACAAAAACTGATCAAGTAGTTAGATAATGTGTCATTGTCACTGTAAGGGTGTGGTATACTCCTAAAAACTGTTTGTTTATTAGACCCGCTTCAACAATTCATCCTATATTACCTAACATATCACGTGTGATATAGGGAAACCTTGGGTCCCCCAAAAAAACTTCACTGTGCTAGTTTCTAAGCGAGTGTGGGCACAAATTCAGAATGCAGTTCAGACTACTAAGGGCTTATTATTGATTTATTCTTCAGAGTAACAATAAAAGAGTACTGCAGTGTGACGTGTGTTCCTATTCATGCATTTCCTTGCTGAAAATGATGGTGTGTGAAAATAAAGGAAACGATCTACATATTTTTGGTTATATCATGTTCTTTACGTATCAAAAACTCCTTCGGGAAATTAAAAGATTAGACTAATAGGCAGAAATAGATGCCTTTTTGTCTCAGAATAAAAAGGCTGATAAAAGCTTATAATGTTATTTTTCAAATAAATCAAAAAACATTCCACTTGTTAAAAAAAAATGTAGTCCACATATATAGTCTTGAGCCTCTGTAGAGAGGTTTTCTCTCTGTTAGACAATCTTGCTAAATTATTCAGTTCATTTATCCTTTGCTGAGTGCTGCTCTTCCTGACTAGTGGAACCATCTGTCGCATCCAGGGTGGAGAGTTTCATTATGCCATGTATTAGAGAGGGCAGCATTCGCTGACCATCAGGACTCCCAAAAGAGTCTGACACCACTGCTGAGTGCGTGTATCTGTGCTGGTCGGGCACTGGTAATCCCTGGCTAGCCATGTGATCTTCAAGCCCACCTACTGATCAAAGCCACACACCTTAAAGTCAAAGTCAGCATCAGTGAAGTTCTTGTGCAGCGCAGGAGAAAGATACTGGACTGTGGTCACGATGATACTGCAAGAATCACACAAGAGATAAAGGGTTAAAACACAGCAGCCAGACACTAATGTTAAGCATGCAGCGTGCTGAGTAAAGACTGATCCAGATACCGTTTACACCTGGCACTAACATGCGTCCAGGTTTGAACAGGTTACAATGAGTCTCAGAGACACCTAGTGAGGCAGTAACTCAAACCACCTTCGGAGATGGTTCACTTGTAATGTGAACACTAAAGCATCCCGAGACATCCTGAACAGCAGCGAAAGATCCTATCACATATGGTCACTAGAAACACACTCAAGACACATGAAAATGCCAGGTGTAAATGGCTATACATCTTGCCATCCTCTTATGATCAGATCACTCAAGATGGATATTAATACCAAGTATGAACAGGGCCCCAGAAGCAAAGTAGGACGTTTCTCAATATCACAGATGCCCAACAATTTTCATTACATGGTAAGACAAGCACTCCTTTACATCCTCTATTTACCACGTAACAATGATATTTATGCTGAAAAGCCTTTGGAAAAGCAGCTAAGAAGAGCTCATCTGTAATTCCGGAGTAGTCTACATAGAGCACATGCATTTTTAGAGATGTTCTGGGCACTGTTCTCAACAAAAGAATCGAAAAATCTCCACTTCTGGAAAAGCTACATGATACAAAAGCTCTCGCCAAGAAAGAAATAGTGTTTTTTTTCATCAGGCTTCTACAAAATCCTGTTTAATGCCATGATGCAAACTCCCAGTGGGGTAGGCAAGCACAGAATGCATCACATGCCATTAGCCAGCGAAAGATGAGAAAAAGAAAGAATGCGGAGAAGACGGGATGGAAAAAAGGGGGAGGGCGGTGGGTGTCTCACTTGCTGGTCAGGAGCCGCATCACGTTCCAGTCTCTGGGGAAAATGCTGAGCTTCATCAGGTTGCGAAACACACAGAAAATCTTCAGCAGGAACTCCTGAAAGAAGGCAGAGAGGGAGAAAGAAGGAGTGAAAGAGAGAAAAACAACAAACATGAATGATACAGCAGGCTTAATGATCTTGAACTGCATATTCTTCATTATACTGCATGTAATAATACAGTCATCAGCAAATTAGATCCATTTTAAAGCAATTTCATTCTTTCCTATTAAGGCCAATGGTCAGCACAGGGTACTGTGGTTTGACGTTGCTCATTAACTCTGATGTAACACTAGTTTCATTTATTCTTATCCTAATCTCTGTCCCATAAGAGATGCATAGATTAGGTAAAAATGTAATCAAGTATTTCAGCTTAGTATAAACTGACCTCCTAACAACTCCATAAGGATTTATGAAATATAACTATACTCAATTGTATTTACTAAACTGAAGAAAGTAAACGACAAACAAAAACGTAGGGTGAAGTAGAGAGTTATGATTTGAGTTTTCTGAGTTGTTGTAACACTATGTCCTTTTTTTGTCCCACTTTATTTGGATAGCCCCCAATAGATTATCTATCGATGTTCACATTATGACTAAACTATCTGGTGAAACTCAGGCTTAGAATTAGTACCAGGTTTAGCTTTAAGTATAGGGTTAAGGTTAAATTAGGCTTAGGGCCAGGGTTAGGATTAGGGAAAGTGAAGGGGCAATGTAATATATATTTAGTTGAACATAAGTTTGATCTACAACATCTACAACACATTTTCTCCACATCCAGAAAGAGCAACAGTTCTCAAAACAGCTTAGCTTCTCACTAAAACATCAACCTACTACAAGTCATCCTTAGGTTTAAATACAAACAACACATATACTTACTTGTCTTTTTGTGTTTCAAAATAATGTAATATGTTAGTTTAAAATAACTGTAAAGGTATATTTGAATATTTTTTCATGTAACATTTTTGTTTTATTTTCCTGCGCACTGTGAAAGACTGTGAGGAGGTCCAAAAAACAACACTTTAAATCAGAAAATGTAGCGTGTGTTTTATTTACTGAACAAAAGGTCATTTTCTGCTGATTTTATGCTAATGACCAGGTCTTTCATTGGTCACAGGAAGAGGGATGCGAGTGTGGACATTCTGTGCCAGTGTTTCTCAATTACGCAGATGGCAGATACAGTGACAAGTAATGTATATGTTAACTGACAAAAAAATATATTTTTTAAAAAAAGCTTTTTCTATGTCTCTTTTAAAAAAAAGTCAATAGTTTTAAGCTTTAAGCCGATCACCTTCAGTAGTAAGTAGTAAGACAACTGGATTTTGAACTCTCAGACAATTTGTCTTATGAAGCTTTGTAATTGGCCCCACCTTTAACTCCTCTTTGCTCTGAAAGTTGTCGAGCAGATGCTGAAAGTGGATATCTGTCATTTGTCGCAGGAGGGACAGGAGGCAGGACACATACTCCCCCTGCAAATCAGAAAGCACACAAATCGTTGTGAGCCAATCAGTCTGCTCCAATGGCCTTCAGAAGACCAACTAGAAAACACAGATAAGGTAAAGGGAAGGGTAGAAGTTATAAGGTCATGAGAGGGATGGTGAGAATATTAACACACAGGAAACTAACCATGAGAGAATTCTTTCAGTGAAATGTAAAACTCATGCAATTAAAAGACTATTAAAACCAAACCCTCAGAGACAAAAACATTACTTCATATTAATTCATCTTGTTTGTTCACCGATTTAATTTTATTGTTTGTTAGAACAAAACATAACCACTTTCTAAATGTAAACATCAGAACAACAAGCATGCTGACACAGTGAGTGAGAGTGTGTGAGAAACAGATAATAATGACACTGTCGTTGAACGCATGTTATGAGAGACAGAAACAATGTAATGCAAAGAGAGAAATAAGTATTGGAGATAAAATGAGAAAAACTGAAGGATGAGTGAGAGAGCAGGACAGAGAGAGAGAGAGTATGCAGAAAAAGTGAGAGAAAAAAACGTAATGAAGCAAACAGCAAACTGAGAAAGAGACAGTGCAAAGTCTTTTGGATAATCAGCAGTGACAGGTGAAAGTGTGGGGTAGGGATGGACGGAGGAAGGAGGGGAGAAGTAGAAGAACCAGATTTGTTAGTTACTAACAGTGATCTCGGCCGTGCACTGTGGGCAGCGCTGGCCTCTTACCGCCTCCTGAGACTGGGACTTGCTCATGATGGTCAGCAGTGTTTGCAGCAGAACATCCAGTAAGCTCTCCACCACCATTTCCACCTCCTCCTGCACTGAGGTCTCCTACAGAGAGGGAGGCCCAGCAAGAAACACACAAATACACATACTGTAGTCAGGAAATCACAAATACGCCAAACCTTCAGTTTGTCAGTAACTGGAATATTGTTGTTGTCACAAAAATGCTACCCAACAGTTTTCAATAAAGTGATGGCACAGACATTTTTGGGCTCTGGGAGCCTTAAAAGAACTGTAAAGACCTCAGAATTTTGTAATGATTCAGCTAAAATAGAGAAAAAAACAGTTTGGGAAAACTTTCTGCAAAAGCAGCAGCAGCTTTTTCCACAACAGCAACAATGTATAAATATTAAAAAGCCTGTATATTAAAGGGAAACAAGGCAAGAAATGTCCTTGATCACATTTAAATCTCATCAACAGTCACCAGCTGGCTGACTTGAGAGAGAATGTACATATGTGTGACCTGTGTGTTTTACCAGTGAGCTGGTTTTGATGATGGAGAAGATACTGCTCAGGATGCCCGAGCAGATGAGCAGCTCCTTCTGTTGCCGCAGGTGAAGATGGATATGGTGTAGGACCACAGGCAGAAGAATCCTCCTCGACTCTGAACCCAAAACATCAGTATGAATGCCAAAGTCAATCAAAGAGAAATATCTAATCATAGCTTTTGAACATTTTCATAAACATACTATATTTCATAGTTATATTTTTTATGAGTTAACTTTATTAAGGCTGCACAAGTGGCCAAATAATTGAATGAGCTATTAAGTTTCTGAATATTGCAAAGATAAGGTGACACGATAAACAATGACAATGTTTGTGCCCCCTTGGTTTCATAATGATAGCTATAGTTGCATGCTGTTCATAATAGAAATTTGAGAAAGCGAAGTAATATTTAGTTATTTAGTAGCTACACATTTTAAACATCCTGATCAACATGCAGACTAAAGCAAAAGAATAGAAAGCAAAAATGAAAGTCCCTATGATGCTGTCATCTCTACTCAAAAGTTTTTAAATTATGAAAGGGAATGATGGAAGGCAAACAAAAAAATGCTGGAAGTTATTGCCTTGGATGACCAACCATTCTCTGTTGTCAAACATGTTGGATTTCTTAGGCACTTACTGTAGCCTATACACATATTTGTATATTTATTTTTTGTTCACTGTTTTATTTGTCAGCTCTAATTATACATCTATTTTTATCAATAATTATATATACAAAGGCTAAGTGATTGGTATTATAGAGGATTCAATTCTGAGTTATGAAACCAAGAAGATTATGTAAATGGAAACAAAATGTGTTCATCAGTGTTCTACTGCTCATGTATTGATACACAATACCGAAAGGACCTCCAACACTGTGACAAAAAATGCCAGTTGAAGTCATACCTGGAAAAGAGAACAACCTGCTATCTACAGTCCGAGCAATGGACTGCAGCTTCACCACATCCATTGACTGGCCTATGTGGACAGTACTGGGCATGCTCCCCAAGGTTCCTCTCACGAACTCAGCCACCTCCTGCACTGTGAACATCTGCAGGAGCTCATCAAAGATGGCTGGGAAGGAATTGAGCAGGGCTGCCTAGAGAAAAAAAGTGAAAGAGAAAGAAAGCTGTCAACTGTGCTTTGCCTTTCACAGTCTTGAGTGCCATATTCCTTTCTGGATCACTCAAGATTTAAAAGAACTGACGGACCAAAGACTGGAACTAGCATCATCCACAGAGCAACAGGCAGCACTTTACTGGGTTTTAAAATTTTAGTTATGTAAAATGCATTTGGCAAAGCAATGGGCATGTTTTGTTTTCAGCTCAGGAGTTTGGTGACTACGGTGTCCAAGCTGCAAGATCAATTAGCAAACACCTAAAGGCCAGCTGAAAGCCACTGCTATTAATATCATTTGACTATGTCAAAAGATCACTATTGCTGCCCTTCTTACTTCTGAAGACTCTGCTTGCCAACTAGCCCGGCAGACCTCTGGAACGATCCAGTGTTTAAGTGGGAAACCACACAGCTTGTGAGTGGGTGGAAAAACCAGGATGTGAGATGACTGTGAGGATTCTGACATCTTACACACAGCAAATCAAAACAGAAATACACATCAACAAGCATATCATTTTCTGATAGGGTTTGAGGGACAGGGAGAGTTGCTGGTATTGGTCAATCGGTTGTTTGCTGGGTTTTTCGTCAGAGTTCGGTGACAGGGTTGAGTGATGATTCGGGAGATGCTGAATGTCGGTGGCACCTTGGTTTAAGGGCAGAGTCCATTGCGTTACTGGGGCAACACATCGATGCACAAGTACTTACTGATAGAGGGGAAGGCCGTGGAGCATTACAGCTCAACGGCTGCACACAGCTGGCCTGGCTGGTGGAGGCTTGTCCCAGATTAGGCTGTGGGCCCTGGGGTGTTCAACGAGGGGGTAAAGGAACCAGGGGAGGAACAGGAGGTCATAGTCAAAGGTACAAAAGAAGGGCCAAATCAAGAAAAATTGCAAAGAAGCATATCACACAACATGTTCATGGAAAAACAAAAGGTATTTTGTGTATTAACAAGGGATGCATTTCCATGGAAATAATCATGAAAGTTACCATGTAGAAACAAAAGACCTTGCATGCAGTCTGTGACTAAGTCACTTGTCCCTTGTGGACCATTTACTGTTGAGAAAACAAGCAGTACAGAATGGAAAGCACAGGAAACAATGTGCTTACAGTAAACAAAGCTGATATGAAATTCTGTAAAAAATGTACAAAATTCAGGTGTCATTAGCCTTTAAAATTTTCCAGTTCTTATGCTAATGAAGTAACACTTCAGGTACACTATTCATATGAACTATAGTTACATACTGTATAAGGCAGTGAAACATGCCATAGGTTGAATCAAAAGATCTTAACCTAACTATTTCATTATCTTTCCTCTAAAATAACTCTTTGGATCCAACATAATGAAAATAATTTACATCAGATTTTACAAGTGTGCAGTCCCAATCTCTACAATCCAGCCACCCTTCTGGCTATTATTTCACCAGGATAGTATCCCTTCAGGATACTATTTACAACCAGCAAATAGGAACAAACAAACAAGTTCTGTTATTCAGATCAGCCTCACTATAAGTGAAGCAGACTAAAAGGGACTTCCCTGAAATAGGGCTGTCTAAACTCCTTAGATAAATGTCTTCTTAAGGGCACAGCAAGGCAGACACATCAATCTGTCAGTAGCCTAAACAAACTTGGCCCTGCAGGAAACAGCCTTGATCCTGGGTCAACAGCAGCTTCACTGAGCAGTAACTCCTGGCTGCTAAACCGCATACTTTCTGAATACATCAGACAACCTTATTTGTACTACTTTCATTTCTAAGAAATCACTGAACATGCTAGAGTTCTGGGTAGACTGACAAAACTGTGCATCAAGATGAATTTACAAAGCCTGATTCAATATGTTTTTACCCTCCTTTTTGTAAAGCTGCAGTGAGTTTCCAGTCAGTTTATGAAACTGCAGAAAATTCCTTATCTGGGCTGTAAACCTAATACTAGCAACACTGACATTTGTAAAGAATATACTACCACTATGTTAGTCCAGCACATTTCAGTCATTTCAAGCATTCAAAATGTCTGAGACCAGCAGGGGTTCTGAATTCTGTTTTGATTTCTGAACAAAAAAAAATAGCAGATTAAATTGCTGGCCTTTAAATGTACATGTTTTGAAGGAAATGGGTCTGGGAGTTCATTAGGGTAAAGAACAAATCAGCAGTCTGAATCCTCGAGTTCTTTCCTTCCTTTGCCCTGATCCCTGATATTATTAGACTTTGAAAAATATAATTTATTAAACCCATGGGCAATTTTCTAAAGCTTACTTTATCAGTGACCATGCAATTCTATTTAATTTCAATGAGCGACGGGATGGACAGGCAAAGTGGCGTGGGCAGAGCAGCAGCTGGAAGCATCACGCAAGCTTGACCCAGAGAAATCCCAGGATGAGCACACACCCGAAAGAAAAATGGAGGAGTGACTCATCCGGATTTTACTATTCAAGTCCAAATATAGAGGCAATCATTTTTATTTCCTTTTTTTTGTATTCTTATTTTTGTGTTTTAAATAGTAGCACAGTCTGCGCTAGATGAGTCCTAGGTGTGCTAGAACTGCAGTCACAATGCTACGCGAGACACACAAGCAATTTTCCGTCTGCTGAATGAGAAGCTGTGCTGGGAGGTGGAGTTCTGATCTTTCATACAGGAAGAGACCAGAGGAGCAGGGGGCTTGCTGCTTGCTGCATGAAAAGGCCTTCATAGATACCTCTGTTGCCACTCTATGTATTGAGAAGATAATACTTAGGAGGTTCCTGATCCTGTTGACACGAGATCCCTAATCCTTATTTTTTGTTCTAGGTACCACCATGGCAACACAGAATTGGGAAACACAGATTAGAGTTTTTGTGAGCTTAGGCTTCTGACCCCAGACCACTTTTGGGATATCTAACCTGAGTAAAGATGAGAGTCTCTGAGCTGCGGCTGTCCAAGCTCAGCACAAAGCGGATGGACTGGAAAAGCTCCTGGATACTTGTCCGAAACTGGTCCTCCTCCATGCCACAGGTGGCCCGAGAGTACAGGATCCTTGACTGCACAATGAACTTGAACAGGTACTCCAGTGCCTGTAATAATCAGTGTTTCACTGCAAAATCAGTGTTTCATGCACATTAAAACATCCCAGCTACAGTATCTTTCTTGTACTAATTCCAAAAAGCTAGTAGGCATATAAGCAGCTCCATAGTATTTGTTGACTTTTATAGTTTCTGTAGAGGCCCTCTAAGGACAGGAGTGACTATGCTGACACACTTTGTTAAAAGTGTGAGTCCTATGAAATATTCATATTGGTCGTCTCTAAACTGAATCATAGCTTGACCAGGCCTCATGAAAATTTCATGCAGCTCATCTGCTATGCAGTTTCTGTCTCATGGCTGCCAGGATGGGCAGGGAATATTTGTTGTACTATTTGTTGTCTTTTATTTGCATTACAATGGGTCATATCTGATGAGTAGGAGATGTACAACAAACTTTTACCCAAGCTAACAGGTTGCATTTAAAAGAACATTATGAAAATAGCTTGACCAGTTCTGAGCCAAAAATTACATGGCAGTTGAATTAATAATTCTTTGAAATTCTGGAATTAGGCTGGGTGATTAAAAGAGATCTTACCCTCATTGCTTCCTGAATGTGGTCTTGTCGGACAACCTCTGCTGAACGGTCCATGTACCATTTCAGACAACGAATCAGTTCTCTGTAAGCATAATGCACGCACATCTTAGAGACATTAGGCCAGCAGTCAGTTGAATGCTGATGAGGCACTGGCCAGTTCCTCTGTTCTGCAGATTAAACAAAGTCTCTGAATTTAAAGTTAATCCAAGATGATTTATTTTTGTGAGAGTTACCCCAGAAATTTTATATGTGATTTTTGTTCCCCAAATGCAAACAAACTTACTTGTAGGCCAGTGCTCCAGCAAAGTGTTTCTGAATGTAAGTGTCCATCACTGGGCGGAAATGGTAGTACTTGCTGTCTCGGAGCAGGTTGATAATAAATACCTGGTCAGTGAAACAAAACAAGGCTCTGGAGGTTAGGGATAGACTAGAGATCAGGTAGAGAAGCAACAGTGCACTATATTTTGTATATTTACCAAAACAACCTCTAAATAGTCCCACATTGTGAACACAGTCAAATACAGCTATCAGATTCAAATAATCCAAATTTAATTTTCAGCATCTATTTCTTAAGAAACATGACAGATACCTTTAAGGAGGTAACAGCCAAAACTCCTTGCCTCTTTGTGCTGAGGTCTAAAAAGCTAAAGACTCCCCATGGATGGCAAGTGCAGGCAGCTGTGAACTAGTAATGGCTGGCTTTCTGCCAGCTGAGACCTACGATTTTTCATCTCCCTCCCTCTCTCACACACACATAGCCAGCTTATTATGGAAAGAGATGAGTAATACAAAGGTAGGGCTGCAACCAATGATGATTTTCCATAACTGATTCACTGAGAAAAGAAGAGTTTATCTTGCACCGTACATGAGGGCGTTTACATGCACTTAACAATCCTATCATAATAGGATTTCTACAGTTATCTGAATATTCAAATGATCATACTCTGATTTCTTAGATCAGAGTATGGTCTAGAAATCCATTAAAGAGATCTGGATCGGATTTCTTAGCGCATGATCACTCTTACTCTGATTTCTTTCTCAGTCTGCGCATGTGCGAAAAAACAGACCGCAGCACCGGAAATAAACAAGCAGCGTTTGACACATCACCCGCGAGACGGCAACAAAACACATTTGGAGCGACACTGAAACCAAATACATGCTTGAAGAAATGAAGGATTTAAATATTCTTCATCTTCTAGATAATGTATGTTAAAATTTTCAGATAAAGTGGCTCGATGTTTAAAAAAAAGTTGCGGCATGAAGTTTGAGTCTTACATTACATTTATGTCACGTCTTATTCTGTGAGTTTATTGGCCGGTTGCAAAGCAGAAATCCGATTACTCATGTCTGACTCATGTAGACCCAGAGTTTTCACATTATCTGATTACTCAAGTGCATGTAAACGTGTTGATCGGACTACTGACAAAATCAGATTTTCTGCAGTTATTGGATTATTAAATACATGTAAACACATTAAATGTTTCTTTGAACAAATACAAAGATTATTCCTTCCTTTTGCACAAAGCTCTCCCAAACCTACTCTATTATTCTACTAAATCATATTTGCAAAAAAAGGACTAATGAAGGATTTATGAAGGGCATAACAACAGATCTTCCACACAGCCCTCAAAAACAACACATGAACAAATTGCATGGCAGTTTGAGTACTATTACGGAGAAAGGTTGATTTTACAAGAGATTTGTATTCTTGCTCAAATAATTTCTTCTGTAATGATAAAGAACAGAAACATTTTTTAGTTTGTGTACTACTAAGCACACAGAAACAGCTTAGTCATCACCCACTTCGGACATGACGTGTCTTAAAGCATGTTCACCACATGGGTAACAGCAATAAACATGTGCAGGATAGTAGCACTTTCAAAAGTCAAAATTAATCCAGGCACATGAAAATAAGTTTTAAAAATCTCTACCATGGAGGGCACTTTCCAAAAGCTGCATTAGCACTAAACTACTTTTTTCAGTTTTTCATCATTTTTGTGCAGATGAAATAGAAAAAAAAGTCTCTTTCAAAAAATATCTGCGTTCATGTGGCCTAGCAAGTCTGCGTGTATTAACGCACGTTAGTGTACATAGCTTAGGTGCACATCGCTGAAGTGTGCAGTTTACATTAAAATGAGTCTCAACCCTTCAGCCAATATTGTTTATTCTATTTGCTAATCCAAAACAGTTAGCTGAAAAGCAGCCAACGACAAACTATCTTTAACATTTGACTACAGTTTTACTATAGTTTGGCAATTACTTACCACTTATCATGCAGTGATTTCAGATCTTCTGAAATGGAGTGTACTCAATTTTTTTTTGATGGGTTGTGCACAACCCTGTACTGTAGTCTCTGCTATCTGTACTTTCCCTCTTTCAGTCAGATGATGTAAATGGGAAGCGCAAACATCATGAAGCCAACTAATCGATAACAAGACTTGCTGCCACCATTATTTTATATTCAATGTTCAATCAATAACTCTACAACAGATACAACAGCTCACAAGAACACAAATATATGTGCTAAGTTAGCACAGTGAATATAAATTTGAAACCCATTCAGTGCTTAATGATATTATACACCTGTTTGGAAAGGTGCATTAAGTAGAGATACTGGTCAAATTTAAACGGCCTCTTACCAGTGACTGAAACACCAGTGGCCCATACTTGTCTGTGTTGTCATCTAGGATGGAGAAAAGTGTGTCTAGAATGTCCTGAAGAAACTGAAAAAAGAACATGGCAATGTTAATATTTCATATTACTGCAATACCATCATTAAATTTTTACATTCAGCATTAATAGCACTTACTTTAACTATTTCCTCTCCACTAACATGGCGTAATCGACCTAGTATGTCCATAACACGATCAGGATGAGCCTTCCACTTCAGCAGCGCCAGCAAATCCACTGAGAATAGAACAGGAATGCATTAAAATACTATAATAGATAATGAGTTATGCTTGAGGCACACATTATTTACGAAGGAACAATGTGCACAGTATTAGAGTTATAAAGCATTTATAAACTACCATTCTGAGTAAGCTTGGTAGAGGAAAGCTGAGTGGAGATCCACAGGGTTTCCTTGGTACTGCGCTGAAAGATGAGGCTGGAAGGGATGTTGGGGCAGCCATTGAAGTCGTCTTTACAGCAAGGCAGTCCCAAGTACAATGCATGGTTACTGAAGGTGGTGTTTTCATCACACTGGAAAACACACATGGCCATATTTAGCACACTTTTCAAAGTATCGTTTCACTTGGCTATATAACATTTGCATTAGGATATGAAAACAAAGGAAGGTCCTTGAAATCTATTATGGAGCATGTAAGTATAGTCAGCTAAAATGCTGATTTAAAGGGGTACGAATCCTTAACCACTAACAAGCTGAATCAACATTAGCAGTTACACCATGCAATGTCCAAGATATTGTGGCAATCAGCTGTATTGATTCAACTAAAGAGGATTTATCCTTTGCTCCTTGTTAGAAAGCTCAGTTCTGCAGTTGAAGTATAACAGCGTATCATCATAAAACAGGTTTATTATGTAAGGTTTAATGTACATATAAGTGGACTCATCCATCCAATCACACCGAGACCCTCAAACTGCTCACTTACTGTAAATACATAAATCATTCACTCTTAATACTGCATTGATTTCATGTGCTTCACGTTTTATTGATTTTGTGTTCCTTCTACTTTTAATGCCCAGTGTTCTATGTGTAATGTGATTTGCTTTGTTTAGACTGTATATACCCCATCTCCTAAAGTAAAGAATAAATACAGAGGAATTAGAATTTCGGTTAAAAACTGAAATGCACTGTTACTTATGACCAACTAATTAAATATAGACTATACTAGTGCTTAAAGCATAATCTAAGAAAACACCAGATGCTGATGTTGAACGCTTCTTCCTCAAATTTGGAGAGAATGAGGAAATTCAACTAATTTAATTGAAGGCGGAGGTTGTCCTAACCTTGTACACATAGAGTTCGTGACTCTCATCAGATAGTGTTGTTCCATCTTCCCTCATGAGCGGAGTGAAGGCAAAGCCAAAAAGCTTCTTTTCCCCTTTGTCTTTTGCTGTAGAAACAAGAACGACAAAAGTTTTTGTCAATACAGAGCTTCCCTAGGTCATGCTTTAAATTTCATGCCAACAGAAAGCCCAAAGCTTTTATAAAATATGATAAACAGAAATAACGCTGCCCTGAATATGTTAAATCTTACAAAAAGTAAAGCTGAAAGTGTAAGATTTTGTGAAACAGGAAAGCCCTTACTGGAACAGTGTCTGAATTCAAAGCGCAGGTGAGAGCCTCGGAATCGGTCGATAGGAATGGGCAGCTTGATCACTTCACTCCAGCGAGGGCTGTTATTGTGGTAGAGGACAAAAGAACGATGCTCGCTGATATTAGGCTCCCCTGACCCCAGGCTAATGCAGTCCTAAGGCAGACAGAAGTCGAAATGTTAAAGGATTTCTTCAAGGATAGTCATCTGGAACTCCCAAGTCAGTATGAGACAAGTAAATGCATCAAAAACAGAAACACGTATTATATCGAGAAAACAGACGGAAGCTTATCTGTTATCATTAAATAATCAACAAGTGGAGAGGATGGAATGTTTTAGGCATTTGGAAACGATTGCTGAAATATTTTTTTAAGAAAGAAATTGAATAGAGATAATACATTCCTGTGCTGGTATACAGGTGTTCGGTAGGAACTGTTTTAGCTTTTAAAATGGCAGTGTGTTTTGGCATCTTAAGGGTAAAAAACATTAGTACTTTCTAACATTTCAAGGAAAGTGACTTAAAGGCCATAGAAACAGGTCAGAGACTTTCAAGAGCAACAAGCTGACCAAGGCACAGAGTATAACTAAAGATCCCTCTCATCTTTTTTACCAGTTTCCTTCTGGTTGATAGCCGCAGTGCAGAATTTGCCTTGATGCTACTCCAATATGCGCCTACAATACACCTGAATTTAACGTTTGATTTACTTAAGGCAGCAGCTTATTGTGCGGACTGTGCACAGCCCCGCCCGCTAAGTATGCACTCCTGATGCACATGGGTTAAAAGGCGCCTGAAGTTACGGAGCCGTCAACAAAAAAGAAAAATGAGAAACTGGAAGTTCAATCATGAAAAGATCTTTTCCATCAAAACAATGTAGAAAACGTGTGCACCCTGCGGCCACATTACACCATATGGCATATTTTGCGCCACGTCTTCTCATTTTGAGAGGACGTACATTTGAGAGCTGTTTCATGAGTTCTGTCGTGTGCGGATAGTTTGAGATCAGTTGCAGTTTTGTAGCTACTACAAACCAAATGGGCATTTCAAAAGACGTCTGAGACCATACAATTGGCCTTTAAAAGAAAATGTAAACTAATTAATGAGCATCTTCTGTAGGCTGTTTGGTACTTTAGGGCTCTTGCATTTACTTATCATGAGTCCAGTGGCTTGGTTTATTTACTTTCTTTCTTTATTTATTTCTTAATAATGAAAATTATTTGCTGTTCTATTTTGTGATCAAGGTGTCAATACTGTCTATTTCGACTAATCATATGTGTTTTGATGAATATATTTTTATAAGTAATTAATTGTGTTTGCATCAGGTTGCAGTCGAGATAATTTATATTTGGACTCTCATTTGTCACTTTCAGCAAAGGTCACTTTCAGAAAAGGTGTGGCGGGAAACAGTGTTTACATTTTCATTTTGTAGCAGAGAACTCTAGGCTGCTTTTATAAACATTACTAAACATTATTATCTTGCTGAGACATTTTTAAAATTATTTGTCAAAAACCAATAACTGTTGGTAAATATTATTTCAGAACCTCAGGGAGTCTAACGTTGCTGTCTAGGCTGTGTACGTTCTTAGCAACATGTCTTTTGAGACTTTAATGCAAATTTACACTTGGTTTTAAAAGACAGAGAAAAATCTATGCAAAACTGGCCGCCACAAGTTGCCGAAACTCTAGTAAACCGAGCAGAATATGTAATCAGCCGCACTTCAAACATCTCCACCCTTTTTGGTGCGATCCTTTTCGCATTTTGCATGGCCCTTTCCCAAATGCATATGCATGAGGGAGAGAAGCGCATTCTGCGTTTCTCCATGCACATGGCACAGAAACAGCTTGGAAGAACCAAAGACAATTTTCCACTCCTGTGCATAATCAAGCTGATCTTAGTTAATAGAGGTGAGAAGTATGTAACTCCTCAAATACATACTTTGAGAATTTCTCCGTCGGCATAGAGCACATACACGGTGACCTCAATATTCTTCTGAACACTCTTCCCTCCTCTCTCAAAGTCCCCTCTCTCCAAGGTGAGGTACAGGTCATTACGAATGTCACCTAAAACATCAACAAAAATACATGTTATTGGGTACACAAAGAGACAAGAGACTTACTTTATCAAATCATAAAAAATGAAGCTAGGAAATCAGAGGCAATTCCATAAGTGAAGGAAATCTTCACAACACTGCATACTTAATTTCACTGACACTTCAAAGTCTGAAATGGCAAACAGTCTATCTCCAAAGGCAGAGGAGATTCATGAAACACTCACAACAAAAGCTTACTTTGGCTTATGCTGCAATTCTGAGAGACAGTGATTGATAGTATGGATTCTAGTGGGCCAGTTTAGATCACCAATCAATCTGCACATTCATTACATGCAATTTTGCTTTGAAAACCAATAATATTTCATTTACAACCACATTTCCAAAAAAGTTGGGACGCTGTGAAAAATGTGAATAAAAACAAAATGCAATGCAAATCATTTAAACCCTATATTTCATTGAAAATAGTACAAAGACAACATATCAAATGCTGAAACTGAGAAATGTTATTGTTTTTTGAAAAATATAAATGGGCATTTGCACATCATTGAATTTTGTTTTTATTTACATTTTTCCCAACTTTTTTGGAAATAGGGTTGTATATGTAAAGTTTGCATTACAAGACAAAATTACAAGAAAACCGGCTCATTCTGACTTAATGTATGTGGTTACATTTATAACAGACCTACTATTGCATAAGGCCAAATAATGTGTAATATGTTGTAATTGTAACAGACATAATACATGAGGCCAATAACTATGTAATAGGCCAACTCTTAAAAAAATCTAGAGGTGCAAGTCGATTAATAATCATTCTGGGAGCCTTCTATTTAGCCTACTTTGTTAAATATAAAAGACATGACAATTTTGGGAATATGCCAGAAAGAAACGTTTCCCACAGTCCTGTGATTGGGCTTTAAATGGTTATATAGTGTATTACATCTAGCACAGTAAAGTTTTGCTCTTAGTAACCGCACATTTTGTTCTTCATTCATAGACCTCACCCACACAATTTGACCAAACGTCTCATTATCATCTCACAAAATGGCATGACTAACAATTATGTTAAATCTCTGATGTCACTACAGCACTTCCAAAAGCTAGCCCCATCATTCCCACAGAGCACAACGGTCCTCCTCCACCTCTGCTCCTCATGCGATTCTCTGTGAGTAAACACCATGCTAATCAGACCCTGGTTCCTCTAGTGACGTTGTCCGTTATTGATCTCTTTCAAATGCTTCACCCATCCACCCACAGCCTCTACACTACTGAGCTTCATTAGCTGTCACAGCACCCTGAGTAATTACCATGGATTTCTAGGTTGGTGCAGTGGTCACTGTTACCACTATGCTCAGGAACAATATCAGGCAGCAGCACTTCATTCAAGCCAGAACCGCACTGCATGTCTGCCATTAATTCTGAAGTAAAGACAGGGTGCCTCAAAGCGAAACCTGATTATGAAAATGACACATCATATTCTCTCATTCCCTGAATATATTCCTTCCTCAAGCTTAAACTTAGTTCAGGAGAGAATAGGCTACTATAAAAAGACCAGTTAAACTTTTCTTTAGTTGTCTCTCATTAAAACTCAAGCTACCAATTAAACTGTGGATATTATATGGCCAGCACATTCTAATTTCTAAATCTTTTTTAGGTGAAGCCTAGTTTTCTCACATATTGGAATACGTCTATGCCTTCAAAAAACATGCATGATTTCAGTATGCAAGAAACTTCTAAACCTGTTTTTCAAACTACAATGTACCACCTGTTGTTGTGTCTACAGCTAAACATGTCAGTCACATCAGGAATGCCTGAGTAAAACACCCAAAACACTAGCTGTTTGAAACTGCAGTAAAATGCTGCTTAATGATAGTGTGTTTCTACTACTTCCTAATGTTTTGTCTATAGGGCTCAATCCCTTGTCAAACGAGTGGTTCACATTTCAAATGATAATTCTGATAAACATTAAAGAAAGCAGCACTTCAAAGCCACTTGCAAATACACAGAGGGGGACACAGTAAGGCGCATGGGGAAGTAATCTGAATCAGACTGTGGTGGAAAATGGAGCAAACGTGGCCAGGGCTCTTTTTAGAAACATTGGCCAGGACGGACAACAAACTGTGACGGTCTGAATAAACCATCGTCCATTTGTCTGCTCTACTGACAGTACCCCACAGTTACAGGCCCCGATAAAAATGTTATCTGGCAGCAGCAGACTGGCTCCCTGCGCGTGATGCGTTGCGTTGGATTGAGCCCAGCCTAGAGTGCCTCTGTAATGGGCTACCGCACACTGCATTAGACTCTCCTCTCCACTGGTTTGGTGCTATCCAGGTCTATCAAATCCATATAAAGCTCTCTATTCAGACAGCTCAGCAACATGCTCAACCCTGCCAAACAATTCCCATGCATCCAACCACAATCGGACAGAGGACAGCTCGTAAAAGTACCCACTGTGACAAAGAACTAAATGCAGTGCCAATGCAAAGAGGTTTAGACTAGAAGTATGGAAGTGACAAGACCTAGGCTGCTTTAAAAAAACTACAGCTTTTTAATACCTTCTAATAATTATCACAGACAAAAATTTTGAGGTGTTTCTCTAATAACAGAAGCCATGATCATCTTAAGCAACAATCCACTGGCTTTTAAAATTTTGGTCAGGCTTTCTGTTCTTTCCGTAAGTATGGTCAATATTATTGTCTGTAATAATCCACTGTACAAATGCAACTGATAGACATTAGGTTAAACAATGCTGGAGTGCTTCTTTAAGACCAAGATCAATTCTTCATAAAACAAAAACACATATAAATCAGGGTTAACAGTGTTAAGAACACATTTGGTTAAAATTAGCTATGGAAATTGCACTGCTGTTAATGAGACATTAAGAGCCATAGCAAGCAGCAGAGATTCAAGCACGGGCGCTTCTGTGTTACACTTACAGTCATCTATCGTCGTTTCTTAAAGGACACCATGAGAGAGGAAACAGGGATGTAAAAGGAGAGAGACACACACGAACATGATTTTAGAGAGGGAAGAAACCATAAAGATCAGTAAATCAGTATACACTGCTGCTTTTTGACTCTCACATGTTCACAAACATTACCCTGGTAAATTATTCAGGATCCTGCATTTATGTGCTGCATTTCTCCTTTGCTGTTTGTCACTGAACTCTTTTTAGCTATTTTATGCAGATGCCATAAACACAAACAGGTTTTGAAAGTCTGTTGTGCCAGATTAACATTTCTTAAGTCTGTAAAAGCTTCCTTCTAATTGCAGGCTTACAGTACATTCTAATATTGTTTGACGCAAGTTGCTCCCAGCCTGAAAACGCAATCCCAATTTGGGATTACAAGTTAGCTATCTGCCACATTCAATCTTACAAAGCAGCAAAGTCAATGCTGCAATTTGGAATAACATTATATAGGGGTTCTTCCAGGCATTCTGGTTCAATAGATTCTAAGCTCCCTCTTAGAAATGCATACATAACAACAGCATGGAGCCAGGAGCTCTCCGGGCCTTATCGACTTATTGGCTTTTTCAAAATGCTGAATTTAAAGAACCTGGCCTTGCCTGTGATTATAATTGAACCAGCTTGGGTAGCTCGATATGTGGAAGATAAACCCATCTTTTTAGCCGTTATGAGGCTGAGCTCAAATTCAAAGACAATCTTGAGAAGATGGGCACACGCAATAGAAGGTGTTGAATGGAATGCTGATTGGGACAAACACATATCACTTAGATCTGCAGCCGCCTCAGAGCAGATGGAGAAGCAGCTTGTCTTGGGTGGGCTGCTGCATTTGAGAAAAGAGACAAGAGGGCTAGCTTCGCTCCAAACAGCACATAGTTGTGTGCAGTCAGAATGGGGGTTGTTGTGGGAATTGTTATATGTGCTGAGACTCTGAAAGGAATGAGTCAGAATTCTTGAAGTAGACACACTGGTATAAATAATGTTAGCGTTATTAATAGCATAGGCTTGCTGCTGAGTCACAAGGATGGCACTTTTTCAATGTGGCTTTCTGTGGTCTGTCTAGCCCAACAGGAGATTTCAGGTGTAGGGAAGAGAACAGATACAAGAAAAACTGTCCTTTTCCACTCGAGGATGTTCTGTATCCCTTTGCAATAACAGTATTGATAGCTGTCTGTAATTTGTTTAATTAGTCTATTTCTGATTTACATAATCAGGTAAGTGTTAAAAGATTGATTTTCATTTTAATGGTTATAATGCCAAAAACAAGTCCAAAGCATACTGTTTAATACTGCACTTAGCATTCTCTGACTACTATAATTTTGCCATTTTGTAATGATAATAGTACCACAGGTGTACAATAAAATTAAATGTAACAACATTATTGAACACCACTGTGGTGCTAAAAGTTTCACTTAGAAAACCTCTGAGAATATGACAAAAACATGTAAATTTTCAGTTTGGTATAAAACATAATATGTTTTGGCTTGTAAAACTGCACAATTAATAAGAATTTATTTCCCTTTGCTGCAATGCTTGTTCTGCTCATGCTGCCTTCAACAAAGACTAAACATAATACACCAGTCAAAGTGCTCACCTGGCATGATGACATCAGGGAAGCCCAGTTTGCGGGTGACGGCGACGCAGCGATTGAAGATCATGGGGTTCTCCCGGCGGACCTGTTCCATCTCTCCTCTGAGCAGCTGCAGGGAGATGATCAGACCTGCCCAATTGGAAACAGAGATGGACAGATGGACTGAAATGTAAAGGGACGAAGTTAATTATGCTGCCATTCTCCTGTGCAATGCTGAACTCAAAGATCAAAGGCTAGGTTCACATTATAAGCCTCACTGCTCAATTCCCATTTTTTCATCTTTCTACCATGACGTTTCAAATTTACTTGTGCAAGTGTTCCATACTGACCATTTGTGTAAACGCATTGCTGCTATGAAAGGACCTGCATTTACACATCTTTTTAATGTCACATACATAACTGACATGCATCATTAATAACAATAAGTAGTACTTGTGAGGCAATTCATCATTACAAGAGTGACCCAGCTGCACAAGCCTTCTAGGCAAAGATTATATTCTGACAGCTCATTCATGATTAAGACAAGAAGGTGAAAAAAGGCCAGATGCATAGCTTTTTGCAGGTTTTTTCTGTGCATGATGAATTTGTGATATGTGCATGAGCAGTGAAGTATGATGTTATGGTCACAAGGCCACATTTTAGATATTTATGCAAGACTCAAATACAATCTGAAAAAAGGACATACAAAAACACGTATGTCATTGATGAGAAGCACTAAAAATTTCAGTGCTAATTGCATGCTCTTGTGGAGAATTTGCTAGCCTGCTAAAAGTGATTATGTGAGTGAGTTACAAGTCCATGAGGTGCTTCGCATCTAAAACACAGCCATTGAAATTAAGTATGAACATGTCTCCATAAGCACAACATCAGTCTTAAACGTTCAAACTCTCTGTGATGTGCAAGCATTCCCACTGCTAGCCTGGCAACACTTCAGTTCTGAAAGTGTTAGATTAAAACACCAACTTGGTCAGACATTCCAAAACATCTGAGAATCCAAGAATGGAGTCCTTCTCCAGAGGACGGGGTGGGGGGGTGCATTTCATTTCCAAAGTGCATTTTCATTCAGCCACCAAGACGAGAGCTGCTTTCAATCATTTAAACCCCCCAAAGCTCAAGGTAATCTAACTGCAGGGCTTTAAGGTTTCATGCATTTTGCATAGTTCCCCATAGAGACCTCTAAGCTAGCGCCTCTTCAGTAACTCCCACATAGTGCTGAGACGCAGAGTTTGGTTTCAGTCCACAGGGACCTATTCAGGCCCACAGCCCACCAGCTTGATGGGAGGTCAGAATAATTAGAATTGTGCACTTTCAGAATCAAGTGAGCCTTACCTGACTGTATGGGTGATTTTGTGAATTAGTCATTTGTATTAATGGGGTTATTTCCTTTCATACATGCATTTCAGTATATTTAAACAAGAACACAATAGTTTACAAATATCAGGTGATAAGGACAATCAAATAAAACCTTTAAGGAAGAGAAACAATGTGCCTTAAAAGGGTAATGAGGCTAACAATGAATTAACACTTGTGTTAGCATGTTAGTTAGTTAGCATAATGAGCTTTGGTTCATTGTTACAGTGGACTGAACTGTAATAAATTCAGAAACACCCTGTTTTTATGTGTGCCACTTCAATATAAAGAATAAAACCACAGTCCTCTTTCATGCCATTTGAATAAAAAGCATTTAATTCTCAAAGTATGTTATCTGCCCGTCAGCTCTCATTCTGGGAAATGACAGTTCCTAAGTTATATAGTTTAAGGAGGTGATGACATACCGTGTCAGTGTTGGTTCTGATGGCCTTACTCCTGACTACAATGCGAGGGGTAGCATTGAGCGATCAAAGTATGTTCTTTGGCTTGAAACTATTCTACATTCTTAAGCAGATTGTATTTGAGGGTGATGACACTGTAGTGTAATCTTGCCGATTCTTTCTCTGGACCCCCGACACGCTTAGAAAAGTCTGTAACTTCACACACACTTAAAAGGAAGTGCCGGTTTAGGGGGCTGGGCAGCAGCAATTGACCCAGTAGCAGGCAGCGGTGTGTGGTGGCAGGTCGATTTGTCAGGGCAAATTATTCAACGATAGTATCCGTCAAGCTTCCCTTTCCAGTCTCTCATTGTACCGCCTGTTTTACACTCTGCGCAACAGACTTTTATTTACAGATAACATTTAAATAACAGTATGTCATACAATGTCAGAAACCACATAAGCAAGTCTAGTTTAGACATGCATTTTGCACAATGCTAATAAGTTTCCGTTACTTCTTAGCTACATTAGCCCTGTAGCTCCAGCACAAAACGAAAGAAACTTCAAAAAACAAACATGTCTTGGTTGATTGACTGCATTACACATTCAGTGTGTATAGTATTTATACCTCCCCAGAAAGTAGAAAACATACCATAGTTAGTGCTGGGAGCAGTGTATTTGGTGCTGGACTTGCGGATGATATTTTCATGAATCTGGTACCACTCATTCTCGTTGTTACATCTGAAAAAAATAAGAAGAAAGAATAAGTCAATTATGAGCACAAAAAAGGCAGTGGAGTCAGCGTGGAGTGAGAGGGCGGAGATCTGCTATCAGACAGAGTTTTAGTATTCTAATGGGCCGAGCACTCAACCTTGGAGCCTACACACAGCTAAGAGCCCAATCCTTCAAACAGAGAATGAACACTGCAGACAAGTTTTCTCATAAAATAAAGAGCTACTTTATTAGATGAAAAATAACATGCTCCCTAAGGTTGTTCACCAAAATTAATATACACATCATATAAGCATGCACTGAGATATGAATGAACATCATCATTGTATTTGTTGTAGTTGTTTCATATACATATATTGCTAAATATTCAGACACCGTTGAAAGGTGTAATAGTTTGTGATGGCAGTATCTAAAGTACAAAATTGGTACTATGAACATATAAACTCAATAAAATTGAATGTAAACTATAGTAAACATATCACATGTTGGCCCCATGCATCCTATACAATTACAAAAAATAGTTAAGAGAAAAAAGTAATGTCAATTAACCCTGTTAACACTAAACCTGAGCGCTCGATTGTGAATATAAAGCTCTTAGCTGGATTGAGCTTAACTAAAGCGAGGACAAAAAGTAGGTAAATGTAGAGTCAAGCTGACAAAGCTGTCATTGACTTTTTGCATTGGTGGGCAATCATCACACTCCACAATGAAAGCAGAGAGTTGAGGCACTTGTGCCTAGCATTATAGCAGCTCGCACAGTGCTACGGGATTAGCAAGTGCTAGCTGCCTTAGGCTAGCTGTTGGAAGTCAGAAGGGAGGCAGTTCTCTGCCTGGAGGAAGCAAAGTTTCCTTAATGGCTGATGAAGCGTCATACTAAACCTGACACTGCAGATGGTGAGGGACCTTAGTGTGGAAGATAGCTCCACAAGTCCAAGGGATCTAATGGAAGGGCTTGCACTAGCTGTTTTAGTCACGGGCCAGGGCTTTGTAGGGATTTACCACCGAGTCCTGCTCTGTGCCTTAGCAGAGCATCATGGCCGGACAGGGCCTGTTGCTTATGGAGACTAGTTCAGCATCTCATTGCGCACATATTCAATGTATACAAACAAGGGGAGAGGTGGCAGAAACACTGTCCCAAATCCTCTAACTGCTAACTGTTGCTGACTAAGTAAAAATACCTTTTTGGCTTAATGGTGGCTAGACACAACGGTAAAAAAGTGAAATATAAATCTCAATTAGCTGGACATGGTGCCAAAAAAGTAAAGACGCACAATCAGAACTAGCTGATTTGCACTCTTTATACACAATCGTACTGATACTTTGGCTGCAAAAAAGAACTCGAAATTAAAGATGGCATTTTAACCACAATTAAGATCATCATATTTTAAGCTTGAAAGATGTACATGTAATGTACTCTTCAAATCAACTTTACTACACTGACCATTCTGCAAATGTTTGATCTTAAAGCTTGTGTCTCAATAATAGTGGAGGAACCTGTTGACCTGTTAGTCAACAACAGGTTCATTTATATGTATGTTTACTGTAATTTAGGGCTGTTTTCTTCATATACATGTGATTTTTGACTGCAAGCGTTCATGCATTTGAGCATTCTCTGCTGTTCTATGCTGTAGCTCAGTCAAAACCTGATCCCTACCAGAAAGGTACTAGGACTCATATCTGTAAAGGCGATAAGAACCATATTACTATGGCATTCAACACTTTGTGTGAAAAACGCATGTATGTCTATAAATCAGGTAGGACTGTGTGCAAAGTGTGAGATTTGAGTGAAAAAGTAAATTAATAATGTTATTGTTATGCTTGTTGCTTGTTAAGAAAGAGCAATAAGAAAATAAAATATGCTACTGGCTGTAAAAAAAAGCAGCCTTAAAAATTAACGATCAATGTATCCCTAGAAAAACGAATTCAAATATCAACTACAATACACAACAGGGTCAAAACACCTCAAAAATGGAAACGCAGTCAATCTAAAAGTGTTACATGATCTATCAAGTGCTGAGTTCTATACGTTTCCACCACTAGGTGTCCCTGCTAAACTTACAAACTTGAATCCCTCTGACTGGCTCACTCTCCCTCCCTCCCTCTTTTCATGCATGTGCACATGCACATACAGATGCATTAAGACACAAAACATCACTGCAACAAATCCACCCCTACCTACCTCCACATATATTTCATAGCACAAAGATTCAATGCATGCTAAGTGCTGTATGGTGTGTGACAATTTGGTTTGTGTGTGATTGCTTAGTTATTTTGGTGAAATTTTTAATTTGTTGTAGAGATTATATGCATGAGGCCTTTTCAAAAAGACATAAATACCTCAATAAGTAAGGCAGCCTGGCATTGCTCTTCTGTAATGTCTGTGATCTCAACAATGCCTCTAATTACAACTCCTCTGTTCATCCCTGTGACCTTACAGATAAACATCTGCACCCTTAGCAACCAAGAGGACACCAGGTGCATACTAGGGGGAGAGATCACTTACGCTCTGTGGCCAACAAGCATGTCAGAAACGGCAAGAAACTGCCCAGCAGGCTCAAGCTCGTAGTTCAGACTTCCTAAAAAAGTAAAAAAAAAGCTTCATACTTCAGATCACCAAACTTAATGGTACCACTATACCAGCGTTAATGCATCTGAAGGGTTTAAAAGGTTTGAAAGGGTACTGTTGAATGGAAAGAAGTCTGGCTTGAGGTTTCGAGTGCTGATCATGTCTGACACATTTGCGTGTTTGGGAAGGGAGGCTGAAAATAACTCAACCCCTCAGCCAGGAACTCAATCAAAGAGGCTAACAGGATGTGACCCTAAACCTTAAAAGCTCTAAACCTAAGCCATGAAATTTTATTGTGGCTTTTCTGCCCAGGCCAGTTAAAGAGGTGGACTTGTTAAGTCCATCACATCAGATCAAATCTTAAGTACATTCTCAAGCATCTGAGCATCAAAACCACTAAAAGATTTTTTTTCTTTTTTATGAAAGAGTGTGTAGTGTAAAGGTTCTGTGCTGTAAAAATACGTTGAAAAATATTAATAGTCATCCTAAATGCTCCCTGGGGCCAAGAGAAACAATGACAGAGCAACGGCAGTCTTTCTCTCTTTTGTCTCTTCTACACTCACAGCAACATGAGCCCAGGGCTTGATACCACATGATTACCTGTCAGCATGAATGCTGGGTATCACAAGAAAGTGTTGCTGGTTGTTCGCCCCCATCTTTTTTCTCTTTACCAGTTCTGCTTGTTCCCAAGACAACAAAAGGGATGACATTCTCTGCATTGGTGCACACAAAGGTAATGGAAGTCTATGATGGAGGGAGCTGCGAGTGAAATGTCTGCTACACATTCCAGCAGGAGGATTTCAGAGGCTCTAAGCTTGAGTTTCTAGGCTTTCAGAGAATATGCACTGTGTGTTGTGTTCCACGGTCAAGCAAGTATTCTGCCCAATAGGATGTACACTGTACACAGTGTACACAAAAATCTGAGCATATTGAGCAAAAGTCCAAATTATTCATCTTTCCAAGGTCTAGACTCTGAGATGGTCTGTTCTGAGAAAATTACCAGCTTTTTAGCTTAATTAATAAATGTTCTTCTTTTTTCTATTTCCTTTTCTCAGTGATGGCTTCTTCACAGCTACACATCCTTTTCAGACCCATAGCATTGAGTTGTCTCTTCAAAGTAGGATGGACAGAAACATCTGTGGATTTTTCAGATCTGAAGCAAAAGCAGATCTGATTTTCTCCTCTCTCTCAAAGATGAAAACTTTAAGTGCTGTTTATCTTATGGGGACAGTTTGAACTACAGGTTTGAAAACTCATGTTTTCTCACCTTGACTTTCCCTTTCCTTAAGCGAGTGAATCGTATATCTAATCCCCTCGGTAATTACCCATTAAAAATGAATGACATGTACTTAATGGCCATTTTGAATGGAAATTAAACAAATATAGGGTGGTCTTTTGTCGGAGACCATCTGTAGCAGGAGTACTTAATCTTAGAGGGCTCAGTGTCCAGCACATTTTGGTGATTTCCCTCAACATACCTGGGTAACTCATCAGTTAGCTGCCAGATTTAGTAGATGTGTTTGAGCAGGGAAATTACCAAACTCTGTTGAAAAAAACAGCCCTTGAGGGCTATCCTGTCAAGGTTTCATGCATTAGTCACTGACCCTTCACCTATAAATCTACCGTAATGCAGGTTTCACACACAACCCTGCTCTACACATCTGATCCAGCTAACCAATGACTTTTAACACAGTCATTTGTTGGATGTTTCAGAACAGGTTAGAAAGCAGTTCTCTAGGAGATCTACCAGGAGAGTTGGTGATCACTGGTTTAGTGTTTTCTTGGCGTAATGCACCTAACTGAACTCAGGACTTGTGCATATGTGAGATGGATAGCTTCAATGAACAGTGATTTGGACACCTCTGCTCTATAGGTTACTGTGCAAGTTATGTTCCATCGAAAATCTCAATTAAACACCATTAAGACAAACAGGTTTTGCAATTCCAGGAATGAAACTCTACTTTACCAGCCCTCAGCTGACAACATATGGAAGCTATAAAGGTAGATTGAGATGGTACTCTCCACAAAGTAACACCACCGCAAGACTTGGCAGACTAGAGTTTGATTCTTTGTCTGGGCAAGCACACCACACTATAACAATAAGAGTCCTCTGGCAAGACTCCAAAAGCTACATTCCTCCAAACACTGTAAAATGTTTCAATTGTAAGCTACCTCATATCAGAGGGCCAAATGCCATAAATGTAAAAATGTAAACTCGGCATTACAAAAAATCTTAGCACCGAATGTGCAAAGAAGAAGAACAGAAGAAATTCAGTTGCACTGAGAGACAAGAGAAAAAAAATCTATTCTAACTTCATTCAAATGATCAGCGATAGCTAATTTCCACACAAACTCACACAAAGTCAGTGTTCTAAGTATGTCATCAATCACTAATGGGCTCAATGTAGCATTAGCCCTGCATTTTCATGACAAATTCACCATAACGGTACAATCTTTCATCACAGAGACACTCCAGCCTCTAGCGTGAGTGTGTGCTTCTGTGTATGCTGCAGACACTCACGTGTAAACTTTCAGTACAAAGTCTTTCTCCTCCTTGAGTTCAGAAATGGTTTGCAGCACGTCGCTCATGGCCAACACGGCGCAGCCGTAGGGCCGTCTGTAATGTACATGAGGAGGGCCCTTCTTCGAGTCATTCAGAAGCATCCTCCCTGCAAACAGAACCAACACATTAGCATGTCAACATTCAAACATTCTACACCGCCAGGGAAATGGCTGATGACATTACATCGCAGTCAAATCAATACTGGTGGAACGTTGAAGTCAAGTCAGTCCCATAAATCATCAGACTGCATTTCTGGAATACCACTGCTTAGAATTTTTTTCTAATCTACCACAACTGATACCAGTCATAGAAGGCCTGAATATTTGCTGATTTGTTGAACTGGGTTTGTCAAAATAAGAAAATTGCTAACCAGCTGTGCTATGGTCCATATGGAACAATATTAATGTCACTTCATGGGACTGTATGTAAAAAGTCTGTGAAAATAAAATTAAATGATCGTTTGTGATGAAATTTTTAATTCCCAATTTTCATTTATTTTGATTTTTCATATGGATTGCAAAAACTAGTCAACTAGCTAACTAATAATTCCACAAGGTGCTGCTGTGGGCAGCAGACAACTATTTAACGACAGTGCCTCAGTTTAGTAATGAAACACGGCGGCTAAAACAAAAATAGTGAAGACTTCAGAAAGCAGGTTTTTTGCTAAACACAAAGCCCAAAGGACTTCATTAGTGTGAAAATACTACATTAGATGAAACCAATTCCACTGCAGGATGTGTAAAACCACAATGTAATACAAGCCAGACCAGACCAGGCAAGTTTGGCTATCGGAAACTTGAAAAGGGCTATTTAACTGACATGCAAAACAACCAATCATAGATTGTTTAGTGTGACGTGTGCGCAATGAAAACAAAGCTACATGGTTTATCAAGAATTAAGGATATATCATTTACTTTTTTACTAATGGCTTCAAACTAAACTCTTAAATAGCTTTTAAACAGGATAGTGTGACCTTTTTCAGTCCAGTGACTAACTCAATCTCATAGCTGTGAGGAGATCACTAATGACTGTTACTAACATTAAGTTTGGTAAACAACCATTTGTCTCCCATCAGACTGATTAAACTGGTGCCCAGAGACACAGATAGCCACAACTGGTGAGATTCTAAGAGCTGTGGTAATTGTACTCAAGTACTATGTATAGCCTCATCAGTCGTCTCTGTTTTAGTGTGCATTTTACGTCAGACAGTGTGTGTAACTCTGTGAACAGAGCATCTGAGCATGCACCGCACCTCAAAATGCAGTATCTCTCACAAGCCCCTACCAGTAAGCTGCTAGCAGAACACATTTTATTGACCCTCACTGACAACTAGTCAACTACTTTTTCAAAAGACTAGTCTAATCCTTAATATATGCAAAACAAATGAAATGTACCTCTTAATTTTTACATACTCATTTAAAATAATGTAAATTCGATTAAACACTGTCACTGCTACACAATCATATATAGCATAGCTATATCACTAAAACAGATCAAGCCAATGTAACTATACAAATATAAACTACAGAAGTGTCTCCCTTTGATGGGGCCAGTCTACAGTGTTCTGGGCCTTTTTTTGGCTTTGTGAGCCAAAATAGACAATACCATAGTTACATAACAGCGCTTGAGATGCAAGCGCCACAGCAGGTGAGGTGCTTGGAAACTGGAGTGTGAAGGGAGTGGACGAAAGGAAGGCAGGGGCTTTAGTTCTGGTTCACTGGGTCTAAATTAAGACTGGGAACATTAAAGGGGCACTCACCAGTCCTGATCACTTGAGCAACAATGTACAGGTCTCTCTTCATGTCCTTATTGCTTAGGTCCTGCAGAGATACAGAGAGGGTCGAGGTGCATGGAGCAAATAATGTCAATTTTACAGAACAGAATCCTTGCAATTGTATTCAATGAACTTAATCTGCACAGTTTATACTCACAATATAAATTAATCTCTTATGCATATTGTGAAGCTTCACATATTATGTCAGTACTTGTATAGTTAAATGTAGAGTTATTCTGCCAATTGTCTATTTTCAAGCAATATGTAAATGCATGCAGACTCCATTTTTTTAAAAGCCCAGTGATGACAAACTCAAGCAATATCATATGTAAACATCACTTGCATTTGTAAACCCATTTTGCCACCATAATAGCGGCCTTTACCGTAAACAACGCGCAGAGTCGGTCAACTTTCTCTGGGTTCTTTGGGCCTCCATTTTTGTTGAGCCTCACCATGAACTTCTCACTGCAACAAAACATTGAAATAGTTTAAGTGGCACTAAAATCGTACACTTCATTTGCCAGCACCTAGCAGCTTCATCACATAACAACTCAATGAGCCCTGTTGTTCCTTAATCCAAACATCCCTGTGTAACGTCAATTAAATCCTGCCTCCTGCGGGTGCTCTAACTCAGTTCCAGCTTTATCGGAGGAAAAAGGAGGTGGGTGGTTAATAACGTCCCGTATCCTCTCCTCATCTTCTGTGGGGGGTCCATGGAGGCAGGGATGGAGAGACAGAGGGATGACAGGGGGAAGATGGAAAAGTGGGCAGCTCTAATCAGATCAGAGGGAGCAGAGGCGCACACTTTCTGTCTGCAGCAATCCAGCCTAATGGAGTCAAGGGCGCCGGCAGGGCACTAATAGGGCTGAAAACTCAGCCAGTGTCCCCGAGCCTGAAGGGTGTCAGGGTTATAAGAATTTGTGAGAACCAGAAATGGAGAGTGGAATCTATTTGCGTCACAGCCAAAAGAAAAAATAAAGAGTTGGACCACATACAAATTTAGGCACTAAATCAATGCATTTGATGAAGATGTATTTGACATAATGCAGTTTTCTGAACACTGGCTCAAATGTGCCATTTTCTGGCCTGTAAACAACATTTAACATCGTACTGCTACTATTAACGGTGGGTGATGCAGTGAAAACATAACCACAGTAGTTCAATATTTTTTCAATACAACACTTTTCAAAACATATTCTCATATTCAGTTTTTCTGGGTTTTGTGAACAACTACGAACAGACACAATACATCAGTAAACCTGTGGTGCCACATTTTTAAGGCTATGAAAAACTATTAGTATGATGTTTTTCAGTAACCATGCTACATAACACAGACATAACCATGCCATACACATGGTTTGAATAGAAATATAACAGTGTCATGTTACCATTACCGGTAATTCTCATGACATGCCAAGTGTACTCTAGTTAGCCTTTATGACATGAATTTTTTTTTTGTTGATAATAGTAACATGACACTGTCATAGTACCGGAAATAATCTGCCAAGTTCTGTCTTAGGATAAGCTTTTGCAAAAATAAACCATGTAAGAAGGAGCACAAGAGACAAACACACTAGCAGTAAAGTTCTGAAGTCGCAAAACAAACAGGAAGAAAGGGAGATATACTAATAAGAAGGTGTTTCTGAACATATATCACTTTGGCAACTTTGTCTAATTATACTTAAATCTTTTATCCTAAGGACTACTCCTGCATTTTACAGTTTTCACGATACATCTACAGACTCAAATATGAAATTTCCAACCATTTTCTCAGGAGTGGTTAGTCACCAAAATAAGAACAGCATAATGCTTAAAAACTGATGGGCCATGCTGTGCGTGTAGTACTTTGAAATACCTTCTTTAGGTTTACACTTGCTGTTGGTGCTTGTTAAAAAGTTCTCTTCTTTCCAAGAAATGCATCCCAAGTCGCTCAAGCAAATGCTACACACGCCTTCATCATCTGAACCAAAATGGACTAAAATCAGTGGATTGCCATCTGGATGGTCAGTTGTGGCTTCTAAGCCTCTCCACCGCACTCAGAATTGCCAACTCGACACAGATGACTGCTTTAGTGGGACACATTGACTTATCGCTCACACTCACAATATAATGTGTGGAGGGTGTTTTTTCAAGCATTTCATTTTTAGATAAGCAAGAAGGACAATGGTACCCAACAAGCCACATGAAGACCAACAGAACTTATGTGCAGAGACAGAGGGGTAGAGGCAAGAATGAAATGTAACTCTTTGCTATTTTTAAAGTTTCAAACCTAAAAAAATGATCAGGGATTCAAAAACTATTAAATTAGACAATGGGACTCCTCACAACTGCACAAGACCTGGTAGACTACCAAAACCAATGGAAAAACAGTACTTAAAGATTTTATCTCTGAGGAGAGAAAATCTGTGTTTCTGTCCATCCTTCCACTGTGAGAACACAACATAATACTATAGGTCTGAAAGGATGTGTAGCCGTCAAGAAGCCATTAATGAAAAAACGGAAATGGCCAAAAATGAAGAACATTTAGAAATCAAACAAAGAAGCCACTGGTGTGTTTTTTTTTTTAGAACAATGGACAATGTTCACCGCCAAGGTCTAGGCCTCAACACCAAGGAATGTGTTTGGGATTACTTGGGATCATGAGAAGCATAAAATGCAACCAACCTCTAAGACTGACCTGGAGGTGAGGAAAAAGGAAAAGCAAAAAACGGACACGCTAAATAGTGAAAAACTTTATTTTATATTTAGTTGTTGAGACTGTATAATAACTTCCACTTAACAGCCATTTTGTTTGGAATTTAAATAAATGCTAAGTGCTCTTTTACTTGTGTATACCTGGGTATGTGTCTCTGCACACCAACACTGAAGAACAAATTCCTGTACCTCTAAGTATACGAGCTGACTCAATGATTTCACATGCACCCCTGCCAAGAATGCCCGATCAGCTAGCTGGAAAACAACATCTCTCCCTAGAGGAGACAACACTGTCCTCTGGCAGTGATGACAGGTATTCATTAAAGCCTTTCACCATTAACACAGCAGTATTATTTCTCCGGCTTTGTTCTATTCAAGTGCCGCTCAGGCTATTGTGCGGAAAGCTACTGCCTTTCAAGGAGCAATCATTAGCTTGAGGCACACATGCTAACAGCACGGTTACCGGCTCAAGTACGAAAAGGGCGCTAGGTTACAAGGTTGATGTATGATCTACCTAACATAAAGAGACATGTTCAGAAAGCCACACTGGCCTGAAAAAGAAGCAGGAATTGATAGAATGGCAAAGCAAGAAGTACTGAACCATGGGACAATGCATCAATCAAGTACTGGCTCAGAGAAGACTTTATGGTTGAGCGGTTGTTATGTAACCAGTGGTGAAGGACAATCAACACGTTCCAAAGAGAGTGATTGAGTCAATGAAAGAAAATGTAAATGAAGCACACAGCAGCTTTAAATCCAGCTGTGAAAAAGAAGGCATGAAAAGTTTGATTGACACAAGTACGCCTTAATGATAGTCCATGTGGCGTGGGATGAGTTAAAATGAAGTGGCTGTGTCTATAGGATTCTTTTCATGTAAAGGTCAAGACTCCAATGTTACACATCAATGTTGCAGTGGGTTCACGATGCCACTGTAATATGGACATCAGTCCATATTTTAAACACAACACGTACAGTGTACACTTGACAACGGACAAATACATGTTGACAAAAAGAAGGAATCTTGTGAATAGCACTGAAGATATATTCCATCAATGTTTCATTAAAGTCCTTGAGCCTCACTGGCATGGCAGCAGTGTTATGTGGAAATGGGGGTGGGAGAGTAACGAGACACAGGGGGAGAGCTCAGGGGGCCACAGGGGGTGAGTGCAGCCAGCTGTTGTAGATAATGTATGGGGAGGGAATGGGAGAGGCCTGATAAAAGGCTGTACAGATGGTCTGCTGGTGGGGAGAGTAGATGTGGTGCTGAAAGAACAGTTCCTTGCCTTCCTGACAGCTTCCAACAGTACCTTCTGTGTGAGACATGGGGAGAATCCCAACATACTGTGCAATTACAGTACTGTGTACAAGTCAGATACCACAAGTTACACTTTTCAGGAGATCTTTCTGAGTAGATTAGGATGGAAGGGGAAATTTTGAAACTATGTGAAAAAACAGGAGTTTCTAAAGCCGTCACAGGTAACCAGCTTCTATCTTTGAATTAGAGAGGATAAAATCAAGCTCCACTCTTGCTTCAGATCTGAAAAAAAATCCACAAGTGTTTCTATTCATCCTTCCATTGTGAGAAGACAACTTAGCACTATGGGTCTAAAAAAAGGTGTAGCTAAAAACAGACAAAAAAGAACAAAATTTCCAAAGCAAAGAATTTGCTGGTATACTTAAAACAATGGACTGACCACCCCAGAGTTTAGACCTCCCAATCATTGAATGTGTTTAAGATTACCTGGATCATGAGATGCAGAAAATGCAACTTCTAGGGCTGAACTTTTGGGCATGTGAAAAAATCCCTGTAGATTTCTTTGAAAAACTAAAAGCAAATCTCCCAAAAGAATGGAAGCTGTAATAAAGACAAATGAAGAACACAATAAATCCTGAAAAAAAATATGTTTAGTTGTTGAGGGTTCTGAGAATTTTTTTTGTTAAAAACATGCTTTCTGCTTGAAAACTCTGAAAACAGAATTGTACTAAATAAATGACATAGTTATTGAATTTTGCACAGTCCTGTATATTTGCATTCCAAATAAGTGCGGGCTGAATACAGCCTGACCCAAGCAGACTCGACCCATTGCACCAATCTGAACCTTACCTCAACCTGCCCACCACCAAACAGAGACCAAATACAATTCAATATTTCATTAGCAACAGTGCTTGCTAACTTACTTTAGAAACAGTGTTAAACAATGACAGACACCATTAGCTCACTGATCATCAAAATTAAAAATCAGTAGCTTTTAATTATCACCTATTCCAAATTAAGCTTAAGTTCTACTTAAATTGATTTATTTATTAAAAGTATTTAGGCTACATAATGTGGTGCTCTCATGTTGGCCTCATTAACCCCAGCAGACCTCTGTGCAAACAAAACAAAGGTATTAAAACCAGAGAGAAAGAATGAAGTAGAGAGAAAAACCAAAGTAGGGGTAAATGCAGGTCAAAATCTGTTAAAGGTAAAAGCTTTGACAGATGTGAACATGAAATTCAATTATGTTAAACAAATATTTAAGAAATGCTGTCCAAACTTGAGTCAGTCAGGTTCTGAAATATATGTCAAGCTCTACTTGAATATCAATGTGTAGGCAAAACGGAAGAAAACCACTGCTTCAATACCTGTTAAAAGGCTTTGATCCAAAAGTCCACACTCTTGATGGCACTTCAATAAGCCCTCAGACTTATAGCTTATAAATGTCTAATCTGTCTTTGCTTAATTACAAAGAGGTGCAATATAATTTTGGGCTGACCCTGTAGCCCACTCCAAGGTAAGGGAAGAGTGGACAGCTTTCGAGTGGGAGGCTGCTGGCCCATTGCTGGACTGTCAAACCTCTGATGAGTGGGTGGACAAAGAGAGAGATAGAGAGAGAAAGAGGCTGAGGGAGAGTGAATAATCTTTTGGCTAACATTAGACCCTGCTGGTGGTGCTTATGTAACGTTACACTGCATGCACCTTCAAAAATGTGAACCAAAACAGTGTTAGTGATACCTAGGGTAAGCTGCACAACGTGTTTTATGATGATTCTATTAAGTAAGTGATTCTATTGAATAAAAATGAACAAAAAATGATATACATATATTATGTATTATATACATATCATTACAGAAATCATTCTATTTTTCTGAATTCCTAGAAAGCCCTGAGAGTTATTGTAGAGATATTGGAAGTGTGGCAGATCATATATTGAGTTTGATTTAGTACGTTTTTAATAGGTTACTAGTAACATTTACCTAAGTTATGTTTTGCACTGCACCCCCAACCTATGTCGCTTCTGACCTCCAGGGTCTATCAGTGATTTCAGTAGCTTCTAGTTGCAAAATAAGTTGCCAGAAAAACAGTAAAAATCAATGTTTTCATACATATTTTGCTCAAAAGCATCCCCTCTGAAACTGTGGGAAATGAATGAAGTGAAAATCCCATGTCACTTATTACCAATTTGTTATCATGCAATAGATTGCTATTAAAGGCCTGTATGTAAAACTGGGTTGCAGAAGAAACAAAATGTCAGCCTTCTTCTAGGATAATATTAGCAGAAGAAGAGGTAACTGGAGCAAAACTAAATGCACTTTGGAAAAGTATGTGTAGATGTGTCCCAAGGCTCAGTGAGGGAGTTCCTATGAGGGTGTTTCTAGCTCTGACAGCACGGCAAAAAATAATGATTGCCTCCCCAGTTGGAGCTCATTTCCTCTTCCTGTTAGTGCCAAGCCTCAAGGGATGAGAAAGCTCTTGACAACACATTTCCCTAAGACGTTAGCCAAGCTCTGAGTAGAAGGAGCCATTTTAGGCTGATGACCTATGTCCAGCTGTCTCTATGCAAATCTTTTTTTCTGAGTATTATAACAGAATTTGTAAAGCTGGCTAAACAGTTCTGTTGAGCAAAGTCCAAGCGAGGCTATTTCACAGCACTGAGACGATTCTACAAAATGACGGGTATTGGAAAAGAACCAATATAAGGGTCTCTATCTCTACAGACTCTAGGCAAGGCAAGGCAAGGCAAGTTTATTTATATAGCACCTTTCAAACACTGCTGTCATTCAAAGTGTTTTATAAATGAGAAAATTCAGAGTCAGAGTTAAAAAAAGTAAAGTAAGCACAAATAGAAAAATATAATTGAAAACAACATTAAAGACATTTATTTATATTTATATATCAGTAATGTTACACAAGTAAGCCTGTGGCAATCACTGATGTCTGCACTATGAAAGAATCTTCATTACATAATAGATAGTCTTGATCCTAAAATCTGATTGGCTGAGACTGGCATTTGAAGCTGTTGTAAAATACCCATAAATTATATAAACAGCTGGCCAGAAAAAATGTTAATTGCAATTATTTTTAACAATAAACTACAGAGGCTTGCCCATCCAGCATTCTTTTGAAATCAAGGCATCTGAAGAGTTCAAGGGAGGGAGCTTGTTCTCATTTGCATTTCTACTCTTCTGGGAAGACTTTACGCTACATGTTTAAACATTGCTAGGAGGATCTGATTGCATTCACCACAAGAGCATAAGTTAGGCCAGGTACTGATGTTGGAAGATTAGTTCAGGATTACAAATGCCACTCCAACTCATCCCATAGGTACTTAATGCAGCTGCACTATTCTAGAGAGCACAGTTCTATTGCTCCAAAGCACAAAGCTGGGGAAGCTTTATACCCCTCTAGCTGATGCCTGGCATTATGCACACAGTTCAATGCCTGAGTCAGAAATGGGTGGACCTTAAAGTAGCTTAATTCACTACTTAAAATCTGGATACTTTTGGACATACCGTGTATTTATAGAATATTCGTGCATTTTTATCATATTTTGTTTTATCATAGTTGTTTAAGGTGGTTTAGCTTCACTAAATGACCTTTGGTCACATGGTCTCGCGGCTTACTGCTTTACTATGTCCTGTAGTCTTACCATACTGAGAAGCACAAGTCTACTTCAACTGCAAAATCCAACCAAAACAAACACTAAAAAGAAGAGCTATGCATACTGCAGTATCTTTAGACAATCAAAAGGCACTGCTATACAAAGAAAGCCGGAACAGTGTGTCACCCACCTTAGCTGGCGGGAAAACAACAATCTGTGATTAAAAATAGTGGTTACACTAACACAGCTGCAAGAGGAACACTCAGGCGCCATCAAAGGGCATTTCATACATAAATATGCAGGCTCATCAAAGTTTTTCAGTCTCATCCTCCCTCTCTTCAGACAGTTCTGAAGACCAGAAACAGAATGTGACACAAGTGATTCCTTTCCAGTAGTTACACAGGGCAACAAGAGAGCTGCACAAGTCTTTTTCCTGATACAACTAGTTGAGCTGTTTTTTCAACAATGGCCAACTGTGAATTTTCTATCTGAATGAATTTTAACTGTAATATCCTCCCCACTTTAAAGACAAGGTCTCATAACATGTTTAGAAGCCGGTTGAGGAAAAAACCTGAATACAGTTGATAATGTGTATCATTTAACCTTATAAATGGATTTTCCAAACAAATGATTTCTTTGAAAGCCAATAAGAAGACAGGCCAACACTGAAAGAATAAAACACCTCCATATGTTTACTGAGATGTGGGTAAAGGCAGTTTTTATATTATTATTATCATTATTATTCAGTTGTCTGTTGCTAATTCATTTACTAAAAGTACATAGTTTGGTGAAAAACTTACTTTTGATAGGTGAAAATCTTACTTCAGTCTTTCAGTGTCCCACTTACTTGCTATTAGCACTAACCTGATATACTACATCTATATGTAATTTTATTTATCACAGTCAACTTTCTCCATATTACTACGTTGCCCTGTTATATTTACTGAGCTGTCCCAGAGACTTCTTCTATCCTTACACAGATTGATAAACAGCTCTTCTTCCATCAAAAGATTACGTCCTAATAACTTCATATTTTTAAGAAACTGAGATGTAGTTAGTGTAATCTACATTAAGTGACAACCTAAGAACCATGTGTGTGCAATGTTGTGTTTTCCTATCATCACTGTCATAACCATGTAGCTCAGTTTTTCTTGTTTTTCATTTATTATTATTATCTTTGATATCATTTGAAAATGGCAGCTGTCACTTGTGAGTCCACTGTGTGAAACTGTCATGAGTAAAAGACCTTCAGAAATGCTCTAATAGTACTTTTAATAACATGTTAAATATAATAGTATACATTTAAGTTAAGAATGTTTTTCCTGTTCCAATAAAGACACCAGTTTGAAGACATTATATTTTGTAACAAAATACAAGTTTTTTGTGTATTTTGGCATGTCGAATAACAAATAATTGATGGAAAAAATACTGAAAAAATCATTAAAATATGCATCAATGTTAGTACACTTGCTTGGGGTGGAGATGTTTTTTGCAGATAAAAAAAAAGTTAAAAATTATGATGGAAAAGTGCTGAATAAAAAATGTAAATGCAAACAGTCATCTGATCACATGATCACGTTTCTGTTTTTGCACAGCAGTAGCTGCAAAACATGACAGAAGGCAGAAAGTACCAGTGGAATTAATTTAAAATGAAAACCTACATTAATCTCATCAAAGGAAAAAACAGTAAAATAACAGAAGCTGCTGCAGCTGATTTACAGACATTTCTTGAACCTTTATGTTCAGTTTCTACAATCTTTAGATTTAAAATCTAGCACAAAATTAAACAAAACAGTAACAAGAAGCTGCTCAACTTTATTCTCTTGTATAGAACTGACGGAAGTGTAGCCTATTTTGCATTTCATCTTGAATATAATTGAACTGCTTGATGTAATGTGCTTTAACATTCATCTCAATGAAAATATTTTATTATACTTGGAACTATCATGATTCAAATGGGATAATTTGACTTCTCAGAATGCTCCTCACCTTATATGCTTGCCCTCCCTAAGGTCGTAAAGGGAAAAGAAGATGTCTGTGTCTTCGCCAATGGTGTTATAGGTGAAGCTCTTGAGATTGACAAAGAGATGGTGTGGTACAGGTATCCGACAGGCATCGCCATGACGCTGCCGCACGCTGTCCCCCTAAGACACAAAAGCAGATAGTCACGTTTATTAGCATTAGCATACAGCTTGAACGCTAAATTACAACAGCATGTACAGCACAAAAGCACTGTTCACTGTTAATATATAAATAAAAGTGCACAAGAACAGGATACAAACTAGGTGCTTTGCATAGACATTTAACAATTCATGAATATGTATGAACATCACTAGTTTTCTGCTGGCAAAGCCTGTGACCTGCAGACGAACTTACAACTCTAAGACATTTGCAAAATCACACTTAGTTTTTCTCTTCCACACTGTTAACAAGGTGTTTCAAACAGGTTTTGCAACAGTTTGTGTCAGCTTTCAGCCCAAAGACAACAATGACCTATACGAAAGGGCTAAGTGTTTGGTGCAAAGAAAAAGCATTGTGAAAGGTGGTGACTTTATTCAAACAGGAAAGAACAAATTTTTACCTGGGTTGTGCTTTGCTGGACGCTGTGTCTGCTGGACAGATGCTGGAAGGGTGGGGGGTAGGAGAAAGATGGGAAGAAAGCAAGAAAATCTTTCAGTAGACATGTCTTATAAGAATCCTAAGTGATATGTATGTCTGGTTCAGTTAGAGTCTAGCAGGTGAACAACATTGCATTGTCAGGTGTGTCTCAAGTGGATGTGGGGGAAAGCCTGAGGCAAAAACACTGAACCATACTGACTAAAACATACTGACATAAGGGAAAAAACAGTGGCTACTGGCCTTCTAGAAGCAATGAGCAAACATAGCAATCTCTTACTGGATACTGAACACCTACAAGAAATACTTTCAATATACCACTGTAATACCTAAAAGTCTAATCAAATTCAGCCCCTTAAATGGCCAGGACCTGCCAGCAGGTCCAAACTTTTATAACACCTATATAACCTTTTGCACTGTGGCCTTAATATATAATAAGCCTGGGATTTTAAGACACATTTATTATATTCTGGAAAAGCAGAACATTTATGCAATGCTAGGCATCTGTACTAAATTGTATGTTTTACAAATTTTACTGCACTTGTAACCCTTTAAAATGAACAGTTTCATTTCGGCCCCATTTCAAATTTTTATAAAAGTGCATTGGTATTGGCATCAACAGATACAGCAATGCACAAAAGCCACAGACAACCTTTCATTTATTATCAGGTCAGGTTATTTATTTTTCAGGAAATATTACATGTAAGAGTTTCCGTAGTTTAAAAAATCATTAAAAGATATAGAAAAAAATAAGACTCCTAACAACTGTACAAGACCTGGTATTAATACCAAAACTGTTCCCATCAGATAAACAGTAACTAAATCTTTCAATTAAGCTTCACTCTTGCTTCAGTTTAAAAAAAAGAAATTTACAGGTGTTTCTGTCCATCCTCTCACTGTGAGAAGACAACTCAGCGCTACGGATCAGAAAGGACAGCTACTGGTATTCTCAGAACAACGAACTGACCACACCAGAGCCCAGACTTCATCATCATTGAATGAGTTTTATAGCTGGATTGTGAGAAGCAGAAAATGCAACAACTTCTAAAACTGAAGTTTGGAGATGTGGAAAAATATTCCTGCGGATTTCCAGAACAGAACAGAACAAAAACCAGAACAAAAGCTGTAATAAAAGCAAAAGGCAGACACTAAATATAAAAACAAAATATATTTAACTGTTCAGAAAATGTGTATATATAAATATATATAAAATGTACATATATACAAAATCAAACATTTTCTGACAGTGATGTTTCAGAGTGGAAGACTATAATGTTACACATTTCAGAGCTTTCCTCCTTTTCATTTATACATGTCTGTGTCATACCGAGTGTGATAAGGATCTAGAGGAGGAGCAGAGCAGCTGTGAGCTCAGGAACAATGGAGAAGTCTGAGCGGATATATTCACAGCAGGGGCCTAAATACAACTTTCACATGCGCTGGAACCTTTAACTGTACATGAACAGACATTTAAGCATGCACAGTGATGTGTTTTCATTTGCATCTCAGTGATAAAATAAAGGCATCACATACGTGCACCCCCAAGTACTGATGCACAAAGACTCACATTCGCATCCATCACTCACTAACCACACATGAATAAGTGTACATACACACTGGTGTTGCATCTCATCTGCAACAGACATTGCAGCAAACACGTGCTCAGCGGCAAGACAAAAAACTGCAGACATGTACATACACACCCACACACATACACACACAAACACAGACACACACACATCTCTAGGGCTCGGGTAAATGATGAAGCACTGCACACATGCATGTACATCATTGAGGTGATAATAGGCCTGTAATGTTCTATAACAAGATCTCTCTCTCTCACACACACACACACACCCCAGTAGCTTCCCACTCTAATGCATAGGGACCCATTCATATTTAAAAGCATTTATGGTTTATCCCTCCATTTTACCTTCTACTTTGTTTTATTTTGTTTTCATTTTATTATATTTTAATTTAGATTTTTTTTCTTGTAGCACTGAAAATTCTGCAAATTCTTTTTATTATTGAGTAATAAAATGTTTCTCTCTGTGCTAATGTACTTTAGTTTGTTAGCACAACCGCTACAAATGCTACACACAACTGCTATGGCAGACAAACACATTCATACCCATCATTCTTCAATCTCACACACTATCTGTTATGAAACCGTTTATAAAGAACAAGTTTAACACTGTGATGTAAAGCGAAGACATGCACGCACGCACACACACACAGTTCTTTGCTGTAGGGCCTGAGTGAATTATGAAGCTTCTACTCAGGACACGTTTTGTTCTCTGGTGCCTTCCCCAGCGTTCAGCATAAATTACTGCGCGATCAGTGCAGCCCCACATCTGTGAACACACCAGTGGGCATGTACAGATACGACGGCAGATTAAAACCAACTCACAAGCCTAAAGCCTTATCTGATCATGTTCTGCATGTGTAACTTTGACACGGATTAAACGACAGCAAGGTTTCTGACATCGCCAAAGAGTAAAGCACGGCAGCGGCAAGAGGTACGCTGAAAACCAGCGAGGTTCCATCAGCTACTCAAGGTCTAATTTAGAAAAACTTTAAAAACAAATATCTTCCTTCTGTTCTCAGTTTTTTATCATTAGGAAGGCTAAATGCATGCCTTGAGGGACTCATTAATCCAGAATGGTGCCTAAGAGCAAAGCTAGTAAGCATGGCCTACATTTTCAGAACTTTTCTGCAATTATAATGTTTGAGAGAAGATTTGGTTACAGCAGTCCTATGTAGGTTCGTTACATTATTCCCCAGTACACTGCCTTTTCGTTGCATGATTTTTTTTACAGGTGAATTTGCTGAACATACTACACAAAATGGCACATGGCAGGAACTCAGACATGACCAGATGGCATGTAAAATGTTCCTGGCATTTCTTATTACTCCCTGGGGATCAAATATGAAGTGAAATATGGAGCAAGTAGTTACAAAGCAAAAATGTATGTGAGTGAATTTAGAGAAAATGGAACACAACCCTATGAAATTTATCTATAATAGGGCTCTGAAGACTACACTACACTACACAAACCCTGCAAAAACTGAAGGTGTACAGCAGTTTTTTGATGCTTTTAGGCAACAAAAAATGCAGACTTCATAGCCCTGCATTCTTTGTTGTTATTTTTGGTACTGGCAAGGAATTCCTTGGCCTCCACAAACTCTTTTGAATCATACACCTTCAAAAGCCCTCTTCCACAAAGAACTCGAGCAGTCTGTTCTCTTGTTAGATCTATCTGATCTTGGAGGTTTTTGGCTTGTGGGCTCTATAAGCTAAACATTAGGGTAAGCACCCGAACCTTCAGATCAACAGACAGAGCATCTTCTGAATCCCAGGCTTAGTGGGTTTATGCTGAAAATCAACATCAACATTTGAAGGCTAGCTCTGCTACAACTTTACAATGTCACTTTATAATACATTTGCTAATAGAATAGCAATCAATCAATGATTAAAGTGTTTACAATCTAGGTAACACTTTATATGCAGTCTATCCCCATAAGGATGGCTTTCTTTGTCAGTAATTATAATCACTGAACAGAACTGATACAGAATGAAATTAAAGAAAACTTTTTGTAAACATTTTACCGAATCCATGCTACATTATATTAATATAATCATCTCATAAACATGTTATGGAAGATGTCATATGCTGTCATGAGTGGACATGACTGATTATGTCCAGTAATAAAACAGCACCTTGTTACCCTTACCATTTCGCATTACCATGTATGATGTCATGATGGCTAAATAGAGTACATAGCCTAAATTATTTTGTGACAAGCAAACATTATGGTAACTGTCATAATAATAAACAGCAATGGTGACATGGCACTCTTATATTACTGACCAAATGTGTTATGTTATGACAGCTCACAACAACTATGACAACTTCCATGACATGTTTATGGCATAATTTTGTCAATGATATGTAGCAGGATTCAAGTAGTGCCAAAAAGTTCCTGTTTGTGCTCTGTTTTCCTGTTTGTGCTCTGCAATAAGAGAAAGAAAAATATTTTTGCATCAAACACTCATAAAATCAATTCATTTTCCTTTATATCAATACAATGTCATTTACTTCATAAAGCATATCTCATGTCACCTTGTAAATATCGATATAAGCTGTTCATAAATACTTAAACATTGTTTATTAAATACATTCTTCAATGCTTATGCTTGTGCTATGTAGTCATTATGTAGCCTTCAAATTAACTGTATTTTAAAGTTACTTTAAAATACTTAAAAAGAATTATATAAAGTCTGATTTTTCTCTCCCTTGTCGTATCTCCCTCGGTTCCTTCTGTTTTTTACTGGCTATCGAACCGTGCGCTTCTAATTCATTTGCGACAGGGAAAAATGGCAATGAAAAATGAGTGTAGGAGGAGGAGGAGGTGAGAAGCGAGCCTCCCTGCCATCTCCCCTCTAAAATCAGTGCCAGCCAACAGGTCCTGTGGTGCTGCCAGACCACAGTGCCAAGGCCAGTAAGGCACTGCCTGCTCCATGCCAACCTCCGCCATCACTGTAACGATCGTCCTGGCAGTGCTTTGGCCACTGTCCTGTCCTGATGGTGTTTTTTCTGCATCAGGTATTTTGAGACACAGATTAATCCATTAATCCATGATAAGTACTGCTACAAACAAAGAACGATGGTTATGTTTTGTTGTAATAACAAAAACATACGTTTGCCCCCATTCTAGGGGTACGGTACATAAATGATGTGCGAAATAATTAGCTGGCTGATTTGTGAACATGTGAATGTTCAATTAATACTTCTTTGTTTGAAAAATCTATTTGGACACATATGATTTATGCACACTATAAATCCATGGTTTGAACGCTTTCTGGCATGCTATCTTTAGACGATGTTTGCTGTAGAGCTTGGTGCCAATATTCAGCCTCCAACACTGCAAACATTGATTCGAAGGCCTTGCAGTAAGACAGTATATTTAGATACTTCAGCATCACATGGTGTAGTGGGAGAGGTGTAGTAGGCAGGACTGAAAATAGTGCTGAGCAAAAGACCAACAGTTTAAGTATTTGAAGACAAGTGTAAATGCAATCACACATACACACACACTTGCACACTTTACACATACAGCAAACATAATAATAATAATAATAATAATAATACTTATATTTTGTAAGCATTTAAGAAATAAAATGCTTACTTTAAATGGACCTTTTATGAACATTTGTACGTCTGTGAATAAACTGTTGTAATATGTTTACACCTAAACACATCATCTATAATCTGCGCCAGTAGACAATCTTGTCCCACTTTAATTGCATAGTTCTTAACAGAACTGTCTGGAAGTCTGTAATTTATTAACAAACTATCTGGTGAATTCACAACAGCATTATGTTTGGAATAAGGCGCAGAACCAGTGTTAGGTTAGGGCATGGCTTAGGATTTGGGTTGAGTCCACACCGGCTCCAGTCCACACCGCTTGTGCTAGACGTCTTACATCTATTAAAAGCAAGCCCTTAAGTGCTGCTGAGTAATCCGTTTATACATTGTTTTTACCATTTAAAATAACAGTTTACTAAATGTGATGATCTTGGTGGGCCAGCAGTTGCAGACAACTGCGCTGTACTAATGCTATGTGGACGACACTTTTCTTAATTCAATGAAAAATAAAAACATGACTGTGATTTCACTGCAATAAACAGATCTGCTGTTTGTACTGTTGAGTTTTAAACATGCTGTAAAACTGTTTAATTAGAAAAGAAAACGAGAAAAAACATGTTTTTAAGGAGCTGAGTCAGGGCTATGGTACTACCCTTATTTATTTAAGATGATTCCTCAAACAAGACATTCCAACCTCTTACCACAGGTTTTGCACTGAGCATTTTTCTTATCGTGCTGTAATCTGAAGTGATCCCACACGAGATTTCTTCTTCTTACTCTGTGAGCTTCCAAGGCCATGTGAAAAGTGATGGTTTGTTGTTGTATTCTAAATCAAGGTCACATGGATGACTGGCATTTATGATGAATTAAACTAAACCAACTATAATGCATTTACATTAACAATAACAGTTAAAGGCCCTTTGCTGATAAAATTTATTAGAGTTTAGACTACAAATTTTGTGGCTTAAAACAAGACGCTTCTGAATAATAGAGGATCGGATACCTACATAATAAACGAGGGCTCAAATATTCAAATTATTTTGGCCAGTCCCAATAATTTTTGATTTTACTAAAAAAGTTACTGATAAAATAAAGATCTCAGCCAGGAACAAGTACACACAGCAAAAAATTCCCTGAACAACCTAGAAGTCCCTAATTTACCTTTACCTTTATAAAACAATCTATTCCTATTTAATTCTCCACTGTTATTAACTTATAAACCCACAGATGGGCTGTAAGCTTCCTCTGAACCACTGTCAAGTCACGACTGCACCACTTTCTTCACCAATATGAATAAAACATGCAATTTATTCATATAGCCGAGCCATCTTGGGAATGGCACTGTATTTCAAAGTGGAACCTGTTATTTTCTAATTGTCAACCCTACAGGCAGTCTCCTGGCAACGGCTGCATTGGTTATGTGTATATTACACATGTATAAAACTGCTTCAAAAATGTGTGATTATATGCTCCTGCACTGCATTGCACTGCACCAGCATATTAGTCGGACTAATGTCTGACACAGCCGAATGTCACAGAGGAACACTATTTAACCGACCAAACACAGTGTTAAGACTTGTTTCGAGTTGAACAAAGCCACCATGATGGAAAATTACACCTCTTTTTCTGTAAATTGAACTATCAGTGTGAAGACTGTTTCACAAGGTAACACCGTGGACCCTCTTAGCAGTTTTGTTTAACACACATGCTAATATCTGTGATCTGCCCAGCGCTAACAAGTGATTATGGTGATCACAGTTTGCAAACAATTTGCGTGTGTTATAGCGGCTGGAACACTCACCATTTTGTAGAGGTCTGAAACGCTAATCTGGTCTGCGTCTACCATTTCAAAGTCTTTCCTTGGTACAAGATCCAGGCCTAAGTGTCTGTTGAAGAAAACAAAAGGAGATATAGTTGTAGGGGTGCTGGAGGCAAGAATGAAGAAAGGGTATTTAGATTAATGAGTCAAGTTTAAAATATCTAGAATGACTGTGGCTAGTCAAACAGTGCTGAACCTGTTGTGGTGGCTGTAACATGCATTAAGTAAGCTGAACATAAGGTTTCCACAAATGCATAGCTGTTGTTGTACTGTGTTATGCTAACAGGTGTGTGCCTCGCTGCTTCTCGGTTAAAGCTTTTTAAAGCAGAACGCTGTCAGGGGCACCAGCAGTAAATAGTGACTTGGCAAGTTTCTAATACCAAGCATAAATAAAGCTCCACTAATCCCCTGGGTGTCCTGTCTCTCATTTAGAGAATAGATTTGAGTAAATTTACTAATTTCATTACTAACTGTATGTTTGATAGTATTAACATTTATTTATATTTTTATTCAAACTATACAAATAAAGTTTCCTCACTTTTTGAGACTAGACATATGATTATAGATATAAGATAAAAAAAATATTTGGTATAGAATATTATGGAGATTTTCTTCACATTCGCATACGCATGACATGTTTAAAGGAAATCAAAAGTGGTTCTTCTATTAAATCTCTCCTAAGAACCCTTTTTTGTCATTGATCTTTTTAAAGAGTTTAAATGAGAAAAACTTGCATCTCTCAAGATCATATGAATACAAAAATGATCCTTTAGTTTATTCTGCTATTGAGATTTCAAATTTGTCCCATCATGACACAAACAGGATGCCTTAAAAATAAATGCAAATTAAAAACAAACACTAATTAATTTATTGAACCATTAGAATACATTGAGCAAGCAAAGGCTGATGAGCTACATGCAATTACAGAACAGGCTGATGAGTAAGATGAATGCTTCTCATTTATCGCTTCAAGGTACTCTTAACTACATGAATACATTATATTATGCCTGCAAGTAAATAAGGGGACTTTTAATTGATGCTGCAAGGTACAACATATGCCAAAATACAACAGCCAGTATTTTCTTAATAACGTGTCTATTTTACCTTTTATAAAGAAGGGCTGATAAAGCGCTTACAAGCGTCCATGTATAAGAAAAATCTGACATTGTACATCAATGTTTACTTCTATACGAAACAATACACATAAACTCTTTTATAGGTCATTCAGTTAGAATGGTGAACTAAGAGGGATTACATATTACAGACAAAGGCCAATGTAGCAGCATGACTGAATTTGCCTGGTGAAAAACCCACCTGACTTAAATGGGAAAGGATGCAGGAATGTGAAAAAGGATTTCGCTTCCAATAATGGTTATTGAACTTTAACGCTGTAAATCTGGGGGGTATCTGCTTGCTGAAAAAAAATAAATGCAGGAACTGTCCCTCAGTCAAGGTCACTTTACACAGCTGCAAAAAAACACTAACTAGCTAACTATGTTAACTGTGCACCAAACATTTATGCCCCCTTCAAGACCACATCACAACAGGAACACCCATAATTACTAGATTTTTGCTCCACCCTGGCGAAGGAAATAGCGAGGAAAAAGTCCAGAGTGACCACAGCTTTATGCTAATATGTTTCTACCTTAAACCATCTAAATTAACCCCTTATACATCAAGCTCATTTTAAAACTCAAGCTTATTGTAATCTTAAGGTTAATAATCTTAACACTTATTATTTAGTCATTAACTACTAAAATCTATTGCAGGTTGATACTGATAAAATTCATTATCACAATATTTTCACATGCTTTTATGATGGTATTTGATGATATTTAAGATTTCATAATAAAGATAATGAACTCATACTTCCTGAGTGCTGCTACTTTGGGCTAAAAGAACATACCAGACACAACTTGCTTTGAATTTTACCAAAGGGAAGCTTCCTCCATATTGTAAACGTTAAGGATGGGAATTTCATGTTGATTTAAGCTTTTGCTATCTGTTAAAATTGCTAAAAGAGAAGACTAATAAGATTACAGATTAATATTAGAACAAGATTATTCAGTGATTGTAAATAAATGTATATAATGTATACTTTATGCACTTACAAGAGTGAGGAATGGAAGTCAGGATTGCACTTTTTTTGAATAATGACCAACGGCACTGGACATAAACATCAACAAATTTTCCCACACATAAGTGACAGTCAATTTATTTAGGCACTCTTAATTAAATACTGTGATGTAACTTTCAAAGGCTCTTGAACAGCTCCACTTTGCCCTTCAGGCTCCTGTGTAACTTTCAGATCGGTAAGTGCCACTGACTCCCTTCCATTTCATCCCATTTACTCAATTATCTGCTCGCTCACCCAGCAGTAGATGTGCCAGCGATGTTCTGCTGACAGTGTAGTGCCTAAAAGTGTCTTGCCATGAACAACCTTGAAAGAAAAGTGGCTTGCATAAAGCTGACATGGATGTTGACACACTTCAGTATGTTGACTTCTACGGCCCCAGAGGAGTGTTGGTTTCGATTACCGTGTCCTCCATCATCCTTCAAAAGAATGAACTCCAAGACCGTATTCTTAGTAACCAAACATGCAAGATCAAGGGGCTAAAAATACATTAAAAAAGGAAATCTAAAGCTACCTAGTGATGTAAAACGGTATCCTTTGCATTTGCACCTCTTTACAACTACTGTATGTACACAAATGTATCTAGTGCCCTGGGAGCAGGATAGCTGGATGAATAATTGGTATAACTTGATTAAAGAAACAGCACATACTGTTTAAGATGTACAAAAGCTCTCTCTCTCGTCCTGTAATACGACAGGGAGAGCTGGAGATCATCTCTAAATGATAGAAGCTGAATAGAAACTGAGAAAATCAAGAGGAACTCAAGTAATGGAAAAAAACTCCCGGCTGTGCCATCGCACCATGACAAAACAATATTTCTTAAGCGGGTGAAAGACCTGGCAGCAACGTGGCCCTCCACAGCCCAAGCGAACCAATTTGCTCGGCGAGCAGAAAAGCCGCTGGCTTCGTGTTTCTATATATGGGACATAGTGTCAATGTCTGAGGCTCACAGGAGCATGCTCAGCCTGACAGTGAATGACAGATTTTAGCATTTCCCTAATTTCCACCGTCGAGTCATTTAGGCCGAGTCTATTTAGGACGAGCGGAGAACGGCCATAATCCATCTCCATCTCCATCACCCACTGACTGTGTACTTGGGAGGCCGTGGTCTATCTCACACACTGGCGCTTTTCCACACTGCTTGTTTAAACACTGACCAATTGAGCGGGGATCACTGGGACTGGCTGTAAAGCATGCCAAGTTTTTCGGAGAGGGGAAGTACTGAGTGTCTCTGACTTCAGACTAGAGAGGGTGCCTCATCTAAATGCTTTTTTAAACAGGACACGGTGGAGGAATGAACTGTTCCTGTATTTGTAGTAAGGCAAGTTCATGCTGTGCACAGCACTGATGAAACACTATCTTAAAAAACATATCTGGCATCTCTGTGCTGTCCCATGGTCATTCAATTTTAAAGGACAGCATCCAGACTGGTTGGACATGTGCATCATATTTCAAGCAAGAACATATCCAACCTCATGCTTAATAAGGTTTCACAGAATAAACCGTAAAGTCTAGAGTTACTACTGTACAGTATGTTTTGCTAAACTGTTCACTAAACACAACTAGTTAAAAGCATAATTCCAGTCAGTACCATAATAAATTACATTTATATTGTATATTTACAGTTTTTGAACCTGCAATAACAAATACATGGAAAAAACGATTGTCTCTTTCTACAAAACAAAACTGTACAGAAAACACACCAACTTTTCACCAGATTCAAATCATAAGGAAACATCTCTTCTGCAATACAAATTTTATTTACACTGAAAATTGTGGATATGCATTTTTACCATAATTTCTGCATTTGTTCTACCAGAATTAGAACAAAAGACTTTAGAGGTCCGAAGTTATGTGTCATTCTGCAGTCAGTATCTTGCATATATTAGGAGCTTCTGATTTAAGCAGATTTCTCTATAAAAAAAGGAAGGTGATTTCAAAAGTTGCCTCTGTTTGCCAGTTGAAATACGAATAAAGCTACATACTGTGATGGCTTAGCCCTGTCTCTGTCTGTTTCTTCCTTCTTGTTTACCTTCCCTGTGTGCCCGGCTATGTGCTTTTGTTTTTGTTCCAGTCTCCTCCCATGTCCTGCCTCCTTGTTATCTGTCTCACCTGTCCCTATATGTAGCCCCACCCTCTCATTAACACCAGGCGTTTCTTATTTGTTCTCTGTGTAATGATTGTGTTTGCTTGGTGTTTCACAGGCCCTCTTTTGTGTTTTCTCAATTGTATTTTGTTTTTCTTCATGGCCCTCAGCCCTTTGTTTTCTGTCTATTTTAGTATTTTGATCTTTGGTATTTTTTCATTACTCTGATAGATTCTTTTTCATTATGGATTTCAATAAAAACATGGACCTGTGCTTGCATCCTGCCTCTTCACCTCCCTCAGCATTTCACACACATGCTACAAGCAAGCTAACACTATTGTGCACTATTATGACGTCATATGAAAGTATGTCTACTATTAACCTTTGTCATTATTGTACAACACCACCAGCTACTCAAACTGTAAGTTACAACTGCCAAAGCAACTTAACTAACACATTTGAAAAAGCTTAGTGGTTTGCGTGGGATATTTAGCTGATGTTGCCAATCAAATCAGTGCACAGCAGTGTTAGCTAGTAGCAGCAGATGTATTCTGGATCCTTAACAACCTAATAATTCAGAGGATCCAGTGACATTTGGAGGAGGAATGCTTGTACAGCAAAATGTACCAACTTTGGAACATTTTAGTTTACCACAGGGCCACTCATTTGTTTTTGTCACACAGAATATCAGTTTAGAACCAGAGTTCTTAACATAACCTGCTACAAAATTATGACATTAGATGTTTATATATTAATGAGCGAAAAGTAACTAATACTGAATTACAACATGGCTATTGTTATTGAAGGAAAAAACTATGACCTCTACTTAAAATTTTTTTTGACAAACAAACACGCTTTTCTTTGTTAAATTGGTCAGGGGATGGCAACTTCCTGTGTGAAGATTTGAGCCCTTTGTAATTCATTTATACGCTCACTGCCAGTGTTTAACCTCACCATCCACCTTACCTGTTAGCTCTAATTAGGGACCTTATAATGAGAGAAATGAATCCCTCTCTTTGAATGCTTGCCCTAATAAAACAAAGGGATAATTTACCATTACCTTGCCCCATTCTAAATGCAGGCTAGAAGCAGGGAGAAGGTTTGCGGTCGGACCGTGTGTCTGTATACACGCGCATGAATGGGTCCTTGTAATTACTATAACAAATTGAGCAGCAATTATACTGCTCATGACCTAGCGCGAGAACAACATATATTCCAATAAAACAGTTCCAGAGCTTTGCCAGGAAACCCAATATTGGAAATGGGGAGATAATCTGTGCTGTTTTATCTGTAATAAAGTCCTTTGACCCCCTCTTTCCTTCCTGTTAACCTTAAACTGTATAATAGGATATATTCATGAGTTTTTTGCTCCTAATTCAGTTTTTTTTATATGGACTGTAAAAGGCTGTGATTACAGAACACAATGATAAATCTGTTAGTGGTATTTATATTAAAGTGTTTGGGCTGTCCTTCAGCTGTTTCAGTGTTGAGTTCATAATCTGTATCTAACTGTTCTAACAGAGGTGCCTCGTTATTTCTTATCTGCAAATGGAAATGCAACCATCTGTGCTCTATAAGACAGTTTTCAACGTCAAAACAAAATATTTCAAAAGTTTAAATATACAATATTGTGCAACAGTCAGAGCCTACTCTTCATTTATTCTATTTCCAGTCAAAATGGTCACAAAGTATTAATTTATCTAAAAGCAGAAAACGTATATTTCCCAATAAACATAACATCACATTTTCAGTATTTAGTGTCCACTCTTTGCTGTTACTACACCTTCCATTCATTTTAGGAAACAAGCTTTCTGTTTTAAAGAAATCTGCTTCTTCTATTTTGTCTATTTCCTTTTCTAAGTAGCAGTTTCCTGACAGCAACACATCCATTCAGACCCATAGCGCTGAGTTGTCTTCACACAGTGGAAGGATGGACAGAATCACCTATGGATTTTTTCAGATGTGAAGCAGCTTGATTTTCTCCTCTCTCTCAAAGATTAAAGTTTTACACAGACATTGGGCATGAAGAGCTGATTATGTACTACATACTGTTGAAACACAAAACACAAGTCTTGATGTTTAATCATCGTAGCCTAGTAGCCTAAATCACTGTCACAGGAATCCAAGTACTGACTTTAGCACAATACTGTATATTTTAACTTCTGAAATATGTCTTTTTGAAAACTCTCTCGTATAGAGCAGATGGTTGCATTTCCATATGCAGATGGGAAATAATGAGGCTGTTAGTTACAAATAGACTATGACCTCAACACTGAAACAGCTGAAGAACAGCCCAGCCCCTTCAATGTAAATATCACTAACTGATATCATTGTGTTTTATAATCTAAGCCTGTCATAGATTACAGTTCATATAGAAAAAATTCTGAATTAGTAACTAACCTTGATACGTATGGAATTGAAAAGCACAGAAGTGCTTGTTTTTGTAAACACCTCAGTGAAGTCACCCAGGTGGTTGAAGTCTAACAAAATACTGTAAAATGTCCTTCAAATTCAGTTTGATTAGGTGTCATCTTTGGCCCTCAGCTGCCTATAAACCTTGTTACTGCATTATAATGCTCCTATATATTCGCAACACAAACAGTTCAGTCCAGAATGCTGACTGAAAGACCATAAACAAAGCCAAATGTCTAACACAACTGACCTCCAAATAAAACTGACAGCCTACACTGTCTGCTCAGGATACATGAGGCAATCACTCTATTAAGTGTGGCTGGGAGATGCAGCTCCTCGCTAGAGAGCAAGTCGTCTACTTTTTCATTAGGTATGTAGAACATATTGTGATGATTAATGAGCACAAAGGTCAAATACTTATTTAAGATCTCTAACACTCTAAGAGTAGAAAAGGTCTCTAAAAATGTAATGCACCCTCAGAAAGAAGGAAGGTGGGGCACAAAAAGGTTAGCTTCATTAGTGTAAATGTGAAATTGCATGTTGTCAGAATCTAGCAGTGTTATATATAAGGATGGCCAATATAGACAAAACTTGGCAAAAAATACTGCGGAATTTGAATCTTCATAACACATGATATGTATCACAACATTTTGTTTTTCTAAGGTTTACTAACAAGTTGGAATGGAAATTATTTTTATTTGTATTAAATGTAATAAACAAACAATCAAACAACTGATAAAATATGAATATAGCATAATAAGCTAAATATCCAATCAGTTAATCAGTTACTAGGTAGATTGAAACAGAAATCTTCAGTGCATTTGGCCATAGTGCTAGAAATATTGCAAATACTTACAATATGCGTGACGTGATTTTTTTTTAAAATAATCATAACTTACTGTGATATCACCCAGCACCATATAAAATGATGTTTACTTACTCATTGCCCCAGTCAAGGCGTACAGTAATGTGGCGTTTGACTTCACGGATTTGATCTTGGGTCAGGTGACCAGAAAGCATCTGCCGCCTCAGGTCGATCAGCTCATTCATCACGTGGCGCAGCTTATAGAAGAGGTCCACTTTATGCTTCTGTTGGGGAGAGAATGAAGAGATGATCAGAGGACAAGGGTGAAGTTCTTTACCCTAAAATAACACTCATTAGTAAACAGCAATTTGTATGATAGCACCAAATAACCTTTTTTGTTACACAGGTTTGAAACTATACTGTGACAAACTGTCATACTGAGTGACCACCACTGCAGCTGCACTGTACATTCTTTACAAATCAGACAAAAAAAGAAAAAAAATTGCAGGCGCACTTTTGGGAGACACAGCCATGAATTTGCTTTCCGCAGCGTTTGAACTGTCTCAAGGATCAAACTGTTACACAGAGTAATTTCACGTTGGCTGGAAATGTCCAGGAGAACCAGCAGAGCGTCCAAATTGGCAAAATCAGTCCTCTGACATGCTATAACAGTGACAACAGAGCGGAAAATACACAAGTCTATTGCGGCCTCCGCTCCCATCCAGGCCTCTGAGGCTCAGAACAAGCATATTCCCGATTCTGTCAGAACGACAAGCCTATCATTCCAAGAAGATACTCATATCTGTACAGCTGGGTCAATCCTGGGACAGGCTTCTCAATAAAGCAGATCATGTGATGGTAAAGCAATCATCACATGTTTAGAATGTTTAGAATCAAGTCATGATTAATATCTTTCATACGTTCAGGTAGATGTTTATGACATTATGATATAACATCTTTATCTCTAGCGATTGGTGATTTGGCATTGTGACACGACATTTTTGATGCATGATATGCATTTTAGTATTTATTTTTCAAGAGGTCTGACAAGTTAGAACAGAATAAAAGCCCTTGTGGTGTCACATTTAAAAAACTATCAAAACTGTAAGTACAGTGATTTTTGTTTAATATTTCACATACTGCACTGCACTAAATCCAATTCTACAGAGCTACTTATGTAAAACCTGTGATTGATGTGTCTGTTAAGTACCTGAAGATATCCACAATATGCTACAAAAAAAAATTGAGATCATATTGTGGTTATGATCAGTATTTAAAGAAATTATCAACTATTTTTTTTCATTATGGAGAGTGGTCTAGAAGAGGCTTAGAAGTGGTTTAAGTGTCTAAGATTTACTTAAGGAGAAGTGACACTACTGGTGCAATGTAACTGCTACAGCTTTGCATAAAAAAACTGTGATGAGTGTTGTAATAATGTCTTCTAGCTTTGTGATATTATATGTTTGTCATATTGCCCACCCCTACTTTCAGCACTTCTTTAGATTTTTAGGTCTCTCTAGCAGAGAGGTAACTGATCACCATATAATTAGGCTACCAGTTAAATAACAGTGAACTATCTATTGCTGTTTTATATTTCCTATTAAATCTTGTCAGATTGGATTAATGGCTTTTTAGGCAAAGAAACAAGGAAAAGACCTTCTGGTCTTCCTGCAGTGGCAGTAAAGCCGCTAGGGAGATACACTCAGGGATTAACCTCAAATTTCGGGACACGAGGGGGAAACACGAGAAAGAGAAAGCAATCCATCTTTAGCATGATGAGCAGTATTTGGCCCACTTTGGCTTCACTGTCCAAACAGAGAGAATAAGGCATTCAGAAAGCCCTTAAAAATTCCCTTTTAACACATCAAAATGCATATTATACATATTTTAGAGAAGTTGTCTATTTGATGTGCCTTGCTAAAATGCTTGTTAAAGGCCTTGTGTGTTCCTTGGCACTGAGTACTGGCATTTCAGCTTGTTTCCCTGTAGACTCATAAGTGTAGTGCTTCTCCTGCACAAAAACTGCCTTGATTTTTGTACCCAAATTAAATTAATTTTCACCCCCACAGGCACCTAAACCAGCAGAGGATCATGCATACACTGGAAAATGTGCTGTAGACTGAGCAGCATGTGTAGCACAAGTGGCTAAAAAATTAAACAGACCGTACCTTCAAGAAAGCTAAATGGGTGTACATAACAGAAATCTGTAAACAGTACCATATTAACAGATTATGATGTCCTATGAACACTCCATGAAACAATACCTTTAAATTTATCTTAAGCCAAGAATGAATTATGCATTTAAGAGGTATATATGAATTTGAAAACACAAACTCATTTGGCCTATCTGTAAATGCTAAAATGTTTCCCATTCATAAATTACAGCTAATTATTCTTATAGCACTAAAAAAGCTGCAGCTGATTTAACTACAGAGTCTGTAGCCTCAACTGAGCAGCTACTGGAACTAGACTAAAGCAAGTAGTCTAAATGAAAAAATCCATGGTTTTGCATTTTACAATCACAATCTATTAATTACCCACATAAACACTCACGTTTTATCATAGCTATGTTGTATGTTAGTCTGTAGTATGTGTGCTGCATAGGGGTGCAACGATTATTCGACTTAGTCGACTAAAATCAACGACCAAATTAGCTGGCAACTAACTTAGTAGTCGATTAGTTGGTGACGTCATTACGTGTCTTTCTTGCGCTCACTAGGAACGTTTTGACATTAATGCTCACTGGAAAGTTAACAACAGTGCGATGGCTGCCTCAAGAACAAAATCCTCGAAAGTGTGGAGCTAAACTCCCAAAAAAATGTTGTCAGTTGTGCTTTTTGTAAAGCCGACCTTAGCTGGTATGAAGGCACATCCTCCAAGCTCACTAAATAGTGTGTGAAAAAGGCACATATACCATTAGAAGTGCACTCATTAGTGCAGTTTGTGAAGTGCAGAAGTGTAGTTTGGGACGCGGCGATAGTTGTGCTAGCGAGCTAGTTAGCTAATGCTAATGTTAAATTCTGTCCTACTTCATGTTCTGAACTGAGCTGTAACATCTTCTATTTCGAAATGCAGGTTCTCTGGAATCGTTAATGAAGCTGAAACAGAGAAGGAAGTAACTGTTATTCACAGCGACCCTGTTCACTTTCCAGATAACGTTTACATTTTAAACACTGCATCGGTTTTTTAGCGTCGACGCCGCCGGTGCGGTCGAATTCGGCGAACACAGGAGAGCAATCCAAACAGTTTTCTGTTCTCTGCGAACATTTGGCACCACTCGCTAACAGTTTGAGGAAGTAGTTCTCCGTAAACACACAGGCCAGCTGGACAAAGGGTTACCGTTGAAATTAACTTTACACAAAATTGTTCAAATTTAACTGTTTATAGAGAAGTTTTCCACAAACATTCGCCACTTTACCCCCCGCTCCATCAGAGCGCATCTCCTCTGCAGAGGGGAGCATCTGCTCTCACAGACGAGAGCGAGACTCTCACAGGAGCACGGAGAGACGCTGACGTACCTCCGTTTCAATAAAGACCTGTGATTGTAGAATTTAGTTTCAGCAGAGTGTAGACAGACAGCAGAACGCACAAAACACTATTCAAATGTAACATTTAAATTTAGATTTATTTTTTTATTTACTTGATTAAAGGAAAACGGATTCAGTTTTGTTATATTTTATTGCTGCTACTTTGCATATCCTTGGTTATAAATTTTGACAGGAAAAATATATTGGAGTTTAATTTTTTTAGTGAAGTTCATTAAAACAGTGAATTCTTGAAAGGTATTCCTCTTCATTGTCTTCACTGTTAGTTAGCAAATGTATAAAACAACCTCAAGCTAAATAAAAGCTAATAGCTACATAAAAGTTATTTGGTAATGTAGTGATTCATAATCCGCATAATCGATTATTCGTTTCAGTAATCGATTGATTATTAAACTATCAAATTAGTAGTTTGTTGCAGCCCTAGTGCTGCATACTTATAATGTTACATTTCAAGAAAATCAACAAAATTGCTCTAAGTAGCATTAGCGTAGCAACTCATTCTGAAATAAACACTGCAGGAAGACAGGTCTCTTTCCAAACTACAGCTGTTCTTAGCTAAGAGCCAGTCCTACCAATTGTGTAGACTAGAGATGAAACGGTTACCGGTTTCATGGTAAACCGCGGTAAAATTAATGACGGTTAGTAGTACCGTTTGAACTTTGAAATATCGTTAAAACCGCGGTCGATTACCTCGGTGTGAAAAACTCGGAGATTCGGAGATATTTCAGCCTTCTAAGAAGACCAAGTCTGACGTTTGGTCATATTTTGGGTTTTATAAGGATGCAGAAGGAAAGTTAATTGAAGATGACCACCCTGTCTGCAGATGACCACCCTGTCTGCAGAACAGGCCGAAAGAAAATAGTGGCGAAAGGGGGCAACACACCCAACCTTACGAGTCATCTTCGCGACCACCACCCACTACCTGCAAGAATGCAAGGTTAACTTTAACGGAGAAGTCTGTGGGACTTCGAAATAGAAGAAATGTCACGGTTTGTGTGGTTTAACTTTTGCTTATGGTTCGTTAATAATATAAAATGAAGCTTTTAGCGTCAATAAAAAAAAAACAATCGGTGAATCAACTGTGAATCGAAACTAAAGCTTTTAACACACATTTCTGTGGAGCAGAGTCTCCAAAATGAGCTCTGAGTTAACAGTCACACACTGAAGAAGTTCAATCTGCGCAGCTCCCTCTTTCTCGTCTCGCTTGCAGTGTTTACTGTCTGAGAGGAGAATAACACCGTCTCAAATCACTCAATGTCCCCTACATAGTGCGCTACTGTTCAAACAAACACGATCATCATTAACAAGCAGTTGAGTTTAAATAGGGACTTTGTAGCCTGTTGTTAACGTTGATTATAAATGACTTAGTCGAACATTTCATGCACTCTTTGGGTGAAGGATTTGCTATTTCATGATCCACGAAGTGCACTACATAGTGCACTACATTTGAGACGGGACCTCGCGCGAGTAAATGCTGTGTGCCGCTTTTAGGAAAAGCAGAGTTTCAGAGATTAAACTTCAGGAGTGTTTCTGCCGCAGTTTAGATGCGAAGTTGTGTTTTAGTTTTGAAATGCTTTTAGAGAAGCAGCTCCACAGGTGAAGACACACTGTGAGTTCTACACTGTCAGCAGCTCACAGCACGGTCACGCAGTTCCTCTGTGATTTGGCTGTTTTCCCTGGTGCACTGTATTGATTAAGGGTTCAGCGCCACAACGGCACAATAATGCTGCAGCTGCAGT